TACCATGCAAAATTTCTTTGACCAATCATAAACCAACCGCGAAAAAATATTAGTCTTATATAGTCTTTGACATTAAAATAAAATAAAATAAAATATTGAAAAAAAATTCTATTACATTAAATAACAACAAGTATTTATCATATTAAAAAAATTTATTTTTAACTCTATATTTCTATTTTATAATTTTATTAAGAATATTGTTTAAATTTTTTAAAAATATTTAAAAAATATAAAAATTAACATAATATATTTTAATAGTATTTTAAAATTTTAATTAATAACTAAAAATTCCAATTAACATTTGCTTTATTTTAAGTTTAATATATGGGATTGATTGAACTCGTCAGAGGAATCCGGGGTAAATTTGTAATTTACTTGGTTCCTTATGTTGCAACTAAGGTGGTGGCCTGGTGGGTCAGCCGAGGCGGCAACCCTATTTGTTTTCAACGTTCTATTGTGCTGCCGTCTCGGAGGATGTTTAAAATTAAATTAAATTGTTTTTAAATCGTTAAATTAATAAATAAAAAAATTAATTAAATTTAAATTATAAAGTTACATTTTATACAGTAATTTGATTTAATTTTTTATTTTTATTTTTTAAATCAAGTCATAATTATAATATATTTATATTATTATTATTATGTATTTTGTTAACTTTAAGATTGAGTTTAAATATTTATAAATAATTTTTTTATAAAAAATATGCAGTTATTATATTTAAATTATAAAAATATAATAAATAATTTTTTTAACAAAATTTTATTATTTATATATAAAAATTACTTTTTTTTCTATTTTATCTTAATATTATATGAATATAAGATATAAAATACACCGCTTCCTTTTGGTTTAAATTTTCACATCTCTCAATTGATTTTCAATTTTTTTTACAAAAAAAATTATAATTAATTTCACACTTTTTTTTTACCATTTTAATTAATGCACTTTTTATTTTTATTATTTTTAACAAATGCACTTTAATTAAATTAAAAGTCATAATAAATAAATAATTTTTTTAAAAATATTTATTTAAAAATAAATAATTCATTCAAATCGAATATCAAAATATTAATTGAATTGGTTGTGTGTTAATATTGCAATAAAATTAAAGCAAATCAATACATATTATTTTTAATATTTAATTAACACTCGTGACTACTCCCTAAAGTTTAGAAAGTCCAAAACATTTTCAACTAAATAGGAGAATTGATTGAGTGTAAATGATTAAATACGCTAAATTGATAACATAATTATATGAAATACTAACAATATACTTTTTTTTAACACTTAAAATTTATTAAAAATTAAAAATATTATAAAGAAAACGAAGAATCTTTTATTGAATCTAGTCTCATACTCAATGTAAACCTCATTTGTGACAAGTGGAAAGGCTTATAGTACATAGCCCAAGCCCAGGCCCAGGCCCAGTTTAGAAATGGGCCAGGACAGAAATTAGACAAAGAAGCGACAAATGCGCATGTTTGGTCGGTCCACTAGGTACAGTGGGGAGACAAGAAGCTTAAGTCAAGGTTGGCAGCTAGTATATGCAGGATGAAGAACCTTCCTCGAATGTGGCACATTTAATAATCAAATAGGTACCAAGATATGTTCATTTCACCTGGACCTGTTGCTAGTCGCTACATCCTAAGTAGATACACTTCTGATAGAGATGTTCCTCAACCTTTTTTTCATTTTTATATTACCACTTTTAATCTTAATCAATTACTTCATAATTATTCTACTACTACTTTAGTGGACAGGCTAAAACAACATACTTATTGCCCAAGTAAAGCCCACTGTCACAAAATTGAATATTTTTCAATTTTGAAGACCAAGAATTGAATATGACTATTCATATGATCATCTGGGCACGAGGATTTGATCATTTCCAACCATTAGTTTTTCAGGCCACAGCCAGAGAAATGCGTGTGCACAGAATATTTATACTTGACCACAAACCAACATGTGTTTTAAAATTAAAAAATTGTATTACTAGGTTCTTTAAAATTAGATAATTTTGAAATTTTGATATCACACTAACTAATATATGCAAGAATTTACTGTGGCTGTGAGAAAGGAAGAAAAGAAAAAGGTAGAAGTCAAAAGGATTTGAAAAGGGCATGCAACAACTTGGCCAAATTGAAAAGAAAAGGACAACAATTTGACCGAAGGAATAAAAAAAGAGTGCAATTATATCCTAATCCATGGAATTTATCATACCTAATTTACTTAACCCATGCCCTACTCAGAAAATAAGTGTTTTTGAAGGAAGCATCGAGGTAGCTTCCACATAAGACCCAAGTCCTTATCCATATAGCTTAGGCTTAAGTCATCCATCACGTCTCTTGAACTAGCTAGATTTGATTACATCTCCACTTTCTAAACCCTAATTCAACACCATATCATAAGAATATTCTCTTCATATACCTTCTACTTTTATCTTTATTTCTAGTTGTTTATGTCAAGTGAACCTGGATCAATAGCCGGCGTAACAAAGTGGGCATAAGAAAAAAGTAGCAGTGATGAAAACAATAAATTGCATGCCAAACCATGCAGAAACTTTTTTAAAGGGACGATGTAGCTTGAGGAATTTGTCCAGTGTTATTGACTACATGCATGCCCGTGCCTTTCGCTATTAGTGCTTCAGTGATTTTAAAATTAGTATTATTATGGCTAAAAAGCAAGAGAGCCTAAAAATTAGTTTTATATGAGCCAATTTGTGTACAGCGCTGTGATCTTGCTGCGTTGACGCCTGAAAATAAATTGTTGCTGCATGATGCACTGTTCATTTATTATTATGATTATTTTGAATAAGTTGCAGCGATTTTCAATTAAAAAAATATTAACATAAATTCTTAAAAGTGATTTTAAACATTAAAAAGTAAACATTTCTACGTAGAAAATATAATAAATATTTGTCAATGAAAGTTTATTATTGTATAAGCTTAAAATCAATTATAAGAGTTGACGTTAACAAACAAAATATTTAAATGATCCAGAGCAGAAGAATATTATCTTTTTGTTAATTAAGCATAAACTAAATCAAGTTAATTTAATAAGAGAAAATGAAAATACTAGAGATCCGGGGAGGAAGAATATTCTATTTTAGTCAATTAAGCATAAACATAATCACGTTTGTGAGGCAACAGATATGATTAAAGAATAGTATTCGAAATGAGACAATGTTGGGAGCGTGTGAAATTAATGAAGTATTATTAATTTGTGAAGGGGCACAGTGTTGATTTTTCGCATAAAAAAGCAAGGCCACAAAGAAGGAAGGTGATTAATATATATATATGACATGGCAATAGACTTATATAGACCCAATGCATATCCCATAAGATAGTAATATTAGGACTAGAAAACAAACGTGAGGCTTAGACTATTCTTCTGGTTGGCTTTCAATTTCTTGCAAAGCAAGGACTCCAAAATGGTTGGTGGATTACAGATGAATTAAACTCCAAAACCATGCTAGCTGATGACGCTGCTTTGCATACGTGGGCGCTGAAGAACTTTACGTATTATTTAAACTCCTCGTTGAATCAAGGTTTGTTTCCTTTACTTTGCTGTCACTGCTAGTAACTCATTCTGTACAAGGCATAATGAGCATGAAAGTGATAATAAAAAATAATATAAATAATAATAATAACCATCACAGCAATAAAGGAAATAATAATTGAGTTGTGATAATAATAATGATGGCAATGAGTGTGATGATGTAATAGTATTAATACACTATATAAGGTTAAATTAAAAGTATTAAAAAGTATATAAGATTAATTAAAAGTATAATTTATAAGGTAGAGGTAATTTTTTTTTAAAAATTTAATTTTAGTTACATTAAAATATATGAAATCAGACTCTAGAAATGTGTTTCCAATTTAAAAAAAAATCAACAATAAAATATTTTGATAGATTCTAATTAGAGGAGATTAGTTATTAAAAAAATTTAAAATATTAATAAATAATATTAATATATTTTATAATTTTGTAATCAATATGTTTTCTACGAGTAACTTTTAATTGTAAAACTAACTAAAAGCTTATAAATGTATAAGTATTTTATAAAATTAAATTTTTTTGATAAATTAGTAATGCAATTCATTGATTTGTGTCAAATGACTTAAAAAATATTTAATATATTATATTCTATAATATTAAAATTAAATACTACTTGTTTCATTTATTTATTATCAATTAATTAAATAATTATATTAAAAAATTATATATTCTTTTAAATATGAAATATTCTAAGTTATATATATGTATATATTAAATATCAAATAAAAAAAATACAAAAAGAATAAAATTATTGTGAAAATAAAAATAACAAAAAACAATGTGATTAATATATATATGTTTTAATTGTTGGTAGAGTAAGTGTCTTATAAAAATATAAATGAATATGTAATGAAAATATTAATAAATAAATTTTTTAAAGTGAAACATTTTTATATAATTTTAAAAAATAAAAAAATTCTTTTATTAATTTATTGACCAAGAAACCTTTAAATAAATTACAAGGTATCTATAATAGGAAAAAAAAACTGAAAAATTTTAATTATAAATGAGATAAAAAGGTGCAATAAGTAAATTTTCAAAAAAAATATTTAAAATATGTAGTAATTAACTTTGGTTAAATACAAATTTGATGAGGTGTAATAGAAAGATGTATAACGAAAAAGAATGAGAGAAAAATGATAATGAAGACAGTCAACGATGCCTAATGAATAAGGAGCCGACATTTTGAAAATCAGATTCAGAGGCACAGCAAACAACAAGCGTCTGACGCAAGCAATGACAGAAGCAACAAAAAAGCAGAACAGTCTCACGTGTGTCACGCCCACTCACCCATAGACACGTGCTGTCTGCGGTCAACTCTTCCTAAGGTTGAAACCTGTCACACCAACGTTTCCTTACATTCATTGTTCCAATGGATACGCCCTCAACCTCCTCTCGCGCACGTGTCAAAATCAACTCCCTCTCTTCTCTTTTCCTTCACGCTATATAATCCCATTCTCCACTTTCTCTTCTCAGTTTCTCACAAGCCGCAAGCAGAGCACGCCCAACAACAACAACAACAACAACAACAACATAGCAACAGAGAGAGAGAGAGAGAGAGAGAGAGAGAGAGAGAGATAAGAAGATTTTGTCAGAGCAAAGGTTGTTCAAGGTTTCAGTTAATTGACTGTTAAGAGAAGAAGAATCTCCAATGAAGGGTGAATTAGAGTTACCACCTGGCTTCAGATTCCACCCCACAGATGATGAATTGGTGAACCACTACCTGTGTAGGAAATGTGCAGGGCAATCAATTGCTGTTCCCATCATCAAAGAGATCGACTTGTACAAGTTTGATCCCTGGCAGCTTCCAGGTTCGCATACTTCATTTGGTTGATTATTGAACGTTTAATAGAAAATCTTTATTAAAAATGATTAATTTTGTACGCTTCAAATTAAGACTAAAGTTAATGATGTGGTGCAGAAATGGGTTTTCACGGTGAGAAAGAATGGTACTTCTTTTCTCCACGGGACCGGAAATACCCCAACGGTTCACGGCCCAACCGTGCCGCCGGAACCGGTTATTGGAAAGCCACCGGAGCCGATAAACCCATCGGAAAACCGAAAGCGCTTGGAATCAAGAAGGCACTTGTGTTCTACGCCGGAAAAGCCCCCAAAGGAGTGAAGACCAATTGGATTATGCACGAATATCGCCTGGCCAATGTTGATCGTTCCGCCGGCAAGAAAAACAACTTGAGGGTATTCCCCAAATTTCAATTTTTCTTTTAGACAAAAATTAACTAGTATTAGTATTAATTAAGAAGTAAAAAATAAAAATTTATTAATTTGCCTGGGATGAAAAAAATCTGATTTTTTTTGTCATTGGTGATGTGGTATGGTGCAGCTCGATGATTGGGTGCTGTGTCGAATCTACAACAAGAAAGGGAAGATTGAGAAATACAATACGGCAACGCCAAAATTGAATTCTGGGGTGGTTGATGATTATGAGCATGAACACGAGAATGAGACCAAGCCCGAAATTCATAAGCTTGTGAATGAGCAATTATACATGGACACATCAGATTCTGGACCTAGGTTGCACACGGATTCAAGCTGTTCGGAGCACGTGGTTTCACCAGATGGCACGTGCGAGAAGGAGGTGCAGAGTGACCCAAGGTGGAATGATCTAGAGCTACAATTAGACAACGTGTTTGATTTTCAGTTCAATTACTTGGATAATAGCCTGTCGTTGGATGACCCTTTTGGCACCCAGGATCAGTATCAAATGAATCAGCTCTCACCGTTGCAAGACATGTTCATGTTCCTACAGAAGCCATTTTGATTTGAAAATGAAACTTTTTGGTGAAACTACTACATGTGGACCATGGTAGGTTTGGCTTCGAGTTTGAACCAAACAGTGGTGCGCGTGTAGTAACTATTCTTAATTCTTAATATTCTTTGTTCTAGAGAGAGATCACAGGTTCTGCAGTGTGTAAGTAAAAACAAATGAAGCGGAATGATCTCATATGTGGTAGATCCAATGGGCCATGGTAGATAGATGTAAGGAACTCCCGTAGGAAAATTCTTGTTCCACTGCTTTAGTATTAAGATTTTTTTATATATTTGTAATATATAACTTCTACTTTTCAATTCAAAGCAAACAAATTGAATGAAAAGTCTTCAATTCAATGGGATCGAATGGTGCGATTTTCATGTTTGACACTTGATGTTACATGGGTTTGTCTATTATATCCCTGAAAAATATGACATTATGGGCAGAACAGAAACAACGCCAAAAGAGGACAACTTGCATTAAAATACTCAAAAGCACAAAACAATTGCCAATGTACTAATAATAAATTAATGCTGCCCATTATAAATAATCGCACACGTAAATGAATAGTTTACAATTGATGATGTTCCCCGTCTAATTAATGTTCCTAACTAATAAATAATCGCACACCTACATGGCTTTTGGAATTTTTAAGGCAAATGGATACCTTCAGAAAACCTGAAATATAGCAAGTATTTTATATGGATGGATTAATAAAACTTGTTCTCTGCAATCAAATTTGAATAGATCTGATAATGTAGTATTGTGTAAATCTTCCAATTAATTATAGAAACAAGAGATGCACCTAATATTTGCATAAACCTGCATTACTCTGACTCTTTACCTTGCCTTTCCAATTTAAATTAAATCCTCAAAGCCGTGCAATCAAACTAATGTGATATCATTTTATATGATCAATCACTTTGTGACTTGTAAGCAGTCGGAAATACACAATAAACAGTAATAATCATGGTAGACCTCTATACCACGAACCTATATATTATTCACAACATAGGCTTATCTACACAAGCACATACACACTCATATAATACAACCACCCAGTTCGTAGGACAATGACTACTATCTGATGATGGCAGAGTTATCAATTGAGCGAAGAAGTTATCATTTGTGATCAAATGCTGACATCTCTGGATCTTGGAACCCTGTCACAATCTGCAGGTGCCCAACCAATCAATTGCTTTTCATTGTCAAATACCATCACTTTGTTTAGCATGGATATGTCTGCATAAACAAGACAAGGGATTTTATAATACACAGTTCATTAAGTGTTTTGGTAAAAACTTCTTAGCAGAATAAGAGAAAGGAACCACATTCCTACCTCCAATTAGGTTCAAATCCCCCATCCCTACTTCAGAGCCGTTTAGAATGCCCAAGCAAACATTTCCCATGTTCTGGCAGAACAATTTATTAGCATTCACACATGAAATGTATTTGTAACTTGTTATGGCTCTGAATATGTCAATCTAGAAGGGATTAATTAACTGGGACTCACAGATATTATCAAATATGCTTCAGGAGGGATTTCAAACTGAGATTTAGTTCTCCCATTGCTGGTGAAACTAAGGGCCATTGGCTTGAAGTATTTTCTAACTTCATATATGCTTTTGAAAGGTCTTTTACCATGCCAACATAGAGGGAGAGTTTGGTCATCATGTGTTTCTCGTAGAGGCTTGCCAGCTAATTCCTTCTTCAACTACATATGGAAATCAAACCAAAAGATCCGTGGAATAATATGTCAATATTTTCTTACATTATTGAACAAATACTTATTTCTACTTTTTCTTCTTCAAACAATTCAAATCTTGCAAGATGAAATTGACATGATCTTAGTAATGCCTCATGCTTTTTGAAATTCTTGAAATAGAAGGGTATAGTGAAAGTTGCTTTAAACTGACCCAAGAAAGTAGTGCTTGGTAAGCATTAGAGTTGAAGTAAGTGTAAGAACTCCCAGTGTCAAAAACAGCAAGAAGATTTCCAAGCCCAGTTCTCTTCCCTCCAAAAATGAGTTCAGCTACCCCTGCTGCTGAGTAATGTTTGCTGAAACAAATCACAAAGATGGGATTTCAATAAGGACAAAGAGTTATTATGAATCATGATAATACACGTGGAACTGTAAAATGAGGATCTGAGTTTGAAATCTACTTACTAATCTCTGGATGACATTGGAGTCCAAGTTAGTCGAGAAGAATCATAAACATCTCCAAAGAAAATAGATCCTCCTCCTTGTGCACTCAAACAGTGTCCAACAACATTTCGCACCAAACCCTGACTATTCAGCTGTGATATCAAGCTGGATCTTCCCCTGCCAAGCCCAAGCATTCCATCTAAAGGGTGGTAAGATGAATCTGGAAAAATCTGATCATATCCGCATCTGCCGAAAGGAACCAAAATGAAGTGCATTAGATAACTCAAGAATTTTCACTTTTTGATAAAAAATACGTATGATATAATAATCATGGATGAATGTCCCTGCCTTAAAATATGATTTTATTTCCTGAAAATATGATATTTTTGGTTTTAGTCTTTAACTAAAGTGAGAAATGCTAGCAACATACTTTTTGAAGTTATTCTTTAGCAAACTTCATGCAATTAATTTATTTTCTATAGAGTCAAAGCAGCATTTAAAAAATGATTAATTTACGAGATATGTATTTTGACTTTTAAAATGAATGAACTAATAAGAAAGAGTGTTTAAAAGAATACAATATTAATATTTCTCAAGATTTATCAATGTTTAGTCCTCACAATAAACAAAACAGTGCGGTTTTAGTTCCTTACTGAAACTAAAAGTACATAGATACTTACCCAAGTGCCATACGAACTTTGAGTTGGACTCCATTTGTAAAGTTGAGAGTATAGACATCATTGACAAGTACACCAAGGGATGAGTAATGATCTGCATACTCAACTTCGTAGTCACATTGATTTGGCACTTCACACTCGTAGTTATCAGTGTGGTGCAATGATGCACAGAGGTGATGCCTGCATGGCACCAAGTCATTGCTGGGCCTGTAAAGCGGGTGAGGTGTCTGAAAATAAGGCACAAATATTTTAAGACTAAGATTTTGTAATCAAACATGTTAATATATACTTGTATCTATCTGCAACTTTGTACTTCCAAGATTAATTTGCCTGGTGATTTAGAACATTGGTAGTGAGTTGCATATTCACCTGAGAGCAACGGGAACAAGGGGCATCACATTGAAGCCATGTGAGGTCGCTACCCGTGTCAATGTCAAGAAAATATGGCCTAGGTGGGTGGCCTATGTTGAGAGTAACGTTATAAAACCTGTAAATGTTGCAAGTAATGGTGACTTTATTAGAGGCATGTATACCAACATGTGTCAACCTAAATACAACAGTTATATTTATCCAAACAATATTTTTCTGCAATTGTTTTTTGTACAAATAAACAGTGTGAATACGAGTTATAATATTTTTATAACAAAATTCTTTTTCTCTCTCTTTATCACAGTCATTTTATCTTTCTTGTTTTTCTTTCTATTTTTTGAATGTAAATCCACTATGGTCAGAAAGAGAAAACAAGATAAAATTTTGCTTTTTTATTTTATTTTGAAATTTAACAAAATTAGTAAAATATATATAAAAAAAGCTGAGCCATTAGATAATGACTGCATGAATTACTACTGTTGAGGATCTGAGTCTACTTTTCTCTTCATAATTGTAATCTCTCTAAAATGAAAGCTTGCCTATATATAATATAATTTTAATTTATAAACACCTCAATAGGAGTATTATCCATTTGACACCTCCATTCATTTTGTTTTCTCCTGTCATTTCGCATCACTCGTTACATCTATAACGTTTTTTGTCTTCTATTTCTGTCTCTCTTTTTTGATATCTATCAAATATTTTCCTTTACTATATGAACGAGACAAAGAAAAACAATAACATGGGAATGTGAAGAAACCCCAGAAAGATGTTTTATTTATTAAAATTCAAAGTCATCGTTTCATCATTACTCTTTCCAAGAATGAATAAACATATTTAAATAAAAAATAAAAAAATAGCAAGGAAGGGCCCAAGCAGGAAAAGGCATATATGAAGCAGGGTAGAAAGAAAGGCATAAAGTGAAACTGAAGGGAAAAAGAAGAACACAGAGAAGATTAAAGAGAAAAGGAAGGTCCTTTTACGTACCCAACAGGGTAAACATTGCCGTGAACCGGAAACACGACGGATGAGCCAGCACGAAAACGGTTTAGAAGAAACGAAGATGATGGTGATGATGATGATGACGACGACGATGAAGGTTCATGTGAAAGAATGGTGTTCCTTGCATTTGCACTCGAAGTGAAACTCTTGTGTTTACTACCAAACCAAGCATAAGAAGTGGAGGAGGTGAACAGGAGTAGAAGTAGCAAGAATTCAAATTTCCCTGAGTTCATCTTTGAATTAGCATGCATGTAAGTATGTAATGATGAGAAGAGAAGAGTATAATTAATAAGAATAATGTCTAAGGTATTATGGGTACGTTGCGTGTCATGCATGAAACAAATTGCAACACTTTATATTAAATCATTGCTGTCCATCCATAAAAGCATTGCATTCTAAGGTATTATGGGTACGTTGCGTGTCATGCATGAAACAAATTGCAACACTTTATATTAAATCATTGCTGTCCATCCATAAAAGCATTGCTTCAATAATTAAAACTGGGATTTCTTCTAATGCATGTCTTCTCTGGGGTTCTTATTCTTTCCTTCCTTCATCCATAAACCCTCTTCACATAATAATATATATATATATATATATATATATATAGCTCTTTTACATATACACGGGTATCCATTAGCATGACTGAATAAATGAACAAGAAGAAAATGTTCTTTTAGAATGAGTTATTTTTTTTAAGGATTTAGAGTATATTTACCTTTGATTATTTAGTATGTTAAAATTGAGAATATTTTATATTAAATTTAAAACGGATATATTCTTACTTCATTTTCAAAAAAAGTTGTTCATTTTATATAAACAAGAATTGAATCGGATTTTATTTAAAAGTTTGTTTATATTAAAAAAATTTCATCATAACAGTAGCTTCAAATACCAACATTAATTTAAAGTTAAATCAAGCAAGCATTATAAGTTACACATGGAGATATAGGCGCACAGTTGAGCTCTTTGTTTTTTAATTTTAAAAAATTTAATTAAAAAATTGCACAAAGGTGGATAATATTATTTTAAGAAAAATACATGTATTCTCACAGGACTACAATTTTTTCCCACCTTTTGTAGTTGATCTTTATCCTAATGCAATATTAACGGTAAAAAACAATTAACTAAGTAGATTATTATTTTTTTGGTACATTGAAAAATAGTAAAAATCATACTTAAGAGTGTTATTTACTTAGTTGATGCTTGATATAGCATAAATTTTTACAATAATAATATATTAAAATTAACTAACCTTTTATTCTAACTATAATTAAAAACAATTGTTTGTGCGAACACGTCTGATAAACACTATAGTACTTGTGCAATAATTACTATTATCTAATTGGTTAAGGTACCAAATAACAATGCTGAACTGTGAATATTCTTTCGTATTAGTAAAATCCTAAGTTGGATAATATCTATTCTTCCTTATGATTTGTTTGAAATTTGTAATTGCAAAGTGTTGTAAATTATGTATAGTTCAAAAATATTTTTAAAAAATATACTCTACAGAACATACATGAGTTTTGAAATGTTACATTAATTATTACAATTATTTGCTTTAATGATAAAATTTATTTTAATTAAATCTTTATTTAATTGTAAAAAATATTTAATTTTATTCTGACAATTATGATAATTAATTTGAATTATTATTCTTATGTTTGTATTTTATATATATTTTAAAATATAAAATTATTGAGAACTTTTTATTGGATGGTTTTTGAGAATCACTCTTCTTTCCAAAAAGAGTCGGTTGGTCTTCCTCTATGGGTTGGGTTACAATTTCCTTTCTGGTTCTGTTTATGAGAAATTACACTTAGGTGAATAAATCTGAAGGGCATTGTTATCACACCCTTCAGCCTACAGTACTTTTTACAACACAAAGGAGATGAGAAGTGAAGTTGCTGAGGTCAAAGGGCAATTTCCATTCTTAAATTATTCAGTAGATTGTTTGCTTCCTATTGCATCAGGGCATACATTTTTTTTACTTTACCTTATGCTCTCTGTAAGAACAAGCTCAAACTAAAGAGGTTTCAATTAATTTTTATTTATTTTGGGGACGCATAGATATTAGAATAAAGGAGGAAATATGTGATTTTGAGAGAAAAGGTATAGTGCAAAATGGAAGAAGGAGTCTAAATAGAGATATTCTCTTTATAAGCTACAAGAGACCGGGGAGCGAGAAAGAGAACACTTCTTAGAAACAGGTTATGGGCTCACATGAAAATGGTAAATCTATCCAGTGATAAGTCTTGGGTGTTTAATCTTAGTCCTTCATTTATCTTTTTAAATATATCAATGATTTTGTATTTATGCTGCATGAATGCAACATTTGTGCCCAAAGTGCATAATAGAAATCACCCAACTAACTTGTAAAATGTGATTAATACAGAATTAGACATTTACTTTCCCTCACCGAAGGCCTGTTTAAGGTTGGCCCAAAATGTCAAGTATATATCCAAACATCTTTTGGACAGTTTTTCTTTCTTAATTTTCATCTTCAGGCTGTTAACATAATTAGTTTAAACCAAATATTTTAAATAATGAAACAGTCGAAGGTGTTGTCAGCTGTCACACTCCTAATCTTATTTAACACTTCTGAGTAGATTAACAATGGGAAAAAAGTCATATGGTTGTAATCACCTGGGCAAAGAATTTTGTAATCTAGCTAGAAAATTGAAAGACATATTAAATCACAATTTGAATCTTTAACAGAAGTTGGTGCCACAGGAGCAACTGGCCTAGCACATGTGAAAAATACACCCCACTGTGGTGGGGGAGACAAAAACATAACATAGCCTTTGTGCATTATTCCTTAGACCATCCAATCAAAGTGAGAATTATGCGAAAAATATTGCCACTGATAAGGGCCTTCAACATTTTTTGCTTTTGGAGTGTATATATGGGGGATACTTTAGGGATGAATCTACATCAAAAGTTCTATAGAGAACTGTTTTCTTATGACTCAAGCCTTCAAAGGAGAATTTTCCATGGTAAGAACCCATTCCACTTTCCTCAACTCCTCCAAATGGCAATCCACGAGTTACAACCTACATGATCATTGTTGTAAATGGATAAGTAAGTCAATCAACACACATGGTTATGCCATCATGTATGTACATAATGCATATCTTAAAATGAAAGGGACGATATGTGGACAAGTGGATTTATAAAATAGGAGCATAAATTTAAAAAAATGTTGGCATAGGATCAATCTTTCTCTGAAAAAGTTTCAGGAAGAGAAAAACTACATGTAAGATAGTGTCATTTATGAGCATCTCTCCATAAGATATGTTTTCCACATAGTCCTTCTTCAGTTGTTCATTGTTTGTGAAGAGATACGCAGCAAGAGGTTTTGGCTTTGATTCGTTATACTAAAGCCTTCTTCTATGTTGTCAACCTGCAAATTTAGAAGAAAAGGGACAATATAATATTTTAAATTCATGTGAAATGTAGGGAGAAAATAAAGAAACAAGTCCTTCCAAAAACAACTGCATCAAGTGGCAATTTGTTAGAAACAAGGTGCATGCAAAAGGGAGTAAGGAAGACAAGTCATAAGTAGTAGATGCTAGAGAATAGTCCCCTTGAAAATGAGGATGAAAAATTCAGGAATGAACTTTGTATGAATAACTCATCCCTGAACATTTCATCCTCAATTTGAAGAGTATACCAAATTGCGTGAAACTGAAAATATTTTCTGTACAAAACAATCGAAGCCTTTCAGAAAGATATCTTCTTTAACACTCCCATACCAACATTCAGGGAGAGAGAGAAAGAGAGAAAGAGCAAGGGAAGGAAAGAGGTGAGTTCACAACTAGAGAAGAATAATTGGAAAATAAAATAAATGTCATAAATGAGACATGACACATTGTCCCCGCGTCAAGAACAGAGTTATTCCCTTTACCATTTTCCTTATCCATAAGTCCTAAATGTACTTTTCCTTTTTGATCTAGTACTCACAGTGATAATTGGCATTACTGGTCCAAATATCTCCTCTTGCATTACCATAGAGTCTTCTGGAGCATCCAATATGATATTGCTATAAAATATAAATGAATTTTACCTAATATTAATAAAGAAGAACGGAATGCAACTTACAATTGCTTCTCATTCTTCTGACCTCCTAAGACAATTTTGTCAGATACCTTGTCCTCATCCAAGAGTTTTACAAGCCGTGCAAAGTGGGTAGAGACACAATACGTGACATGTCTTTTGATTCCATTGGATCTTTCCCAAAAAAATTGCTCCAATTCCTCTATAAGAGCATTTATCTGTTGAGTGAGAACTTATCGATTATAATATGTTTGAATACCTCATTTAAATTTGTATTCATGAGGCAACCTTACAAGTGTTGGAGCAAATTCTTTTTTAGTGATGATGTAATAAACAGAAATGCATGCTTGTCCACTATTGAATGCCCACTTTCCAGCTATTATTCTCCTAGCAGTACCTGATTTTTTCAATGATTATTATACATGAAACTATGATATTCAGATGCCTAAATAATGAGCTCAAGAGATAGTGTTACTTATAAGCTATGTTGCATGAAACTATGATATTCAAAATCCTAAAATTTTGGACCAAAAAATCTATTTATCGTATTCAAACCGTACTTGCGTACTCACATCTCATACCCAATTTTTTTATTCAAATTATTTTGGGTTCGTACCCAGGTGTACCGGTACTCCATGGGATATGCCGTACCCATGCTTAGGAGCTTGTAAGTTGACATTTGAATCAACAACATATGGGCACCTTTCCTCCAAGTTCCAGAATTACAGGGGTAAGGTGCTTTGCAGCAGCAGCCATGACAATGCGGTCTACTCTAGCACTACCTGCATTAAATTGGACTATTAGGCAAAGAAGCTTGCTTGTGGTAAAGTTGACTTGCTATTGTTAAAGAAGAACTAATTGAGTTGAACACTGTGACATATTATTACAAATTAAAACTGGCAAAGGGTATGAATACTAACTCTAAATTTCTTGATGTTAGTTATAATAATTATAAGATTTTGACATGACAGTTCAAAATGGAACCAATTTCGAGCAGCATTTCACAGAGTTGGCATTTCATAAGTAAGGCATGGTTAGCTAAAGGGAATATAACTTGTGTCAGTTGAAGGTCAACTAACAAGTGAATGTAGAATTTTGCCATAGCAAAAATATGAGTGCAGAAATATTTGGAAAGCTAGTACCCGTCACTACATGAGACTTATCTATGTATATGTCGTGTATATAAGAGCTCAACAATAATGACAACGAGTGAAGTGAAGAAAATCTGTTCTGTTATAACCTAATGCAATTAAGATATGTGAAATGAGTGAAAACACAAACATACTCTACATACAGAAAGGAAAGTTCCATGTTGAGATGACTAACGAACTCCCAGTGGTTCTGACACAATCTCTGCTGACGATGGGTATGTTGTAATTGAGTTTTAACCTAAAATTATAACGCTATTTGTTAACTGAAGCTGATTATTATAAAGTGAGGTTGGGAACTTTTTGTTTTTCTTAGTGGTTACCTTTTCAGCCTTTCAGTTCCTTGATTGCTTCACTAGATGAAGATTTTGTATTTGTGACCATCATGATGGTTGGTTAGAACAATGGAAAATTTAAATGTCACGATGACAAATATGGAAAGAATAGTTAGTGGAAATATTTTTCTTCAAAGTAATTGACTTAAGAGAAATATAAAGTATAAGAATAATTTTGCAGCATAGGAAGTAAAAACAAATTAGGAAACTGACGACCTCAGATATAAATGCTTCAAAACCAGGTTTAGACAAGTCCTTATCAAGTGCTGTAATAATGTCCTTCTCCCTCTCTTCTAGCATCTTGACTGTGCCCTCCAACTCGGAAATCCTCCATTTGTAGCTTTTTGTCTTGCCTGAATCAAAGCTCTTTCTAAGCTCCTTGACAAGCAAACAAGCCTTCCGTCCATCAAAAATAGGCTTCTCTTCTTCCATTATTGATAGAGTTGCAGAACCTCTCTGCAAGATATAGCATACATGCATGCAAGCAATCCACATAAAAGATTAGAGTTGAACAAATAAAAAGCACCATTAAATTGATAGGGAAAGAGGATGTTTACAAGTATGAAGAGAAAACAAAGAACCAGTAGTGGAATTGAAGTTGCTTCCTAAAGCTCCTTCTAGTTAAATGGTTTGAAAAGGCTTTCCTGCTGCAAACTGAGGCACTGTTAGTATGAAGAACTGGAGTGAGAGACTCATTACTTGTGACAGAGTTATAGTTTTTTCTTGCACAAGGTTTTGGCAATTCTATTACAGTATTAGTCTTTCGGGTGATTTTACATTCTCAAAGTTTCATTGACCATATATCTTTCTTTAAAATCTCAGAATCACAAACATATGAACAACTATTGGTTTTACTTTCACGTACAAGAATGTACCAGTAAATAAGCAAATTAATAAGAAGGAAAATAGATACCCACCAACAAAGAACAGCTCAAAACACAGACTTTTCAGGGGAGAACCAGAAAGATGTTTAGCATTTCAAGTTGTTTAAGATGGTACTGGATCATTATAACAGTCTAAAAATAGTACATAGAAAGTGAAATGATGGTTTGCCTTTATAAGTAGATAGACCTAGGGTGTGTTCTCAGCCATGAAAAATAGAAGGATAGCATTATACGAATTTGATGACTGTTGCATTGACAATATGTTACAAGGACATAGCAAAAGATAAGAAAATCGTTCAACAAAATTGATGGTATTTCAATGATTCAATCAAAGTCCCTAAATTACTGAGGGAAAAAATATCAAGACAGATATTCTCATGCACAACATTTAACTATTTGTGCACTATGTCAGTCCAAGACAAAAGTGATATTGTAGAAAAGTTTTGTTCGCTAACCAATCGTTAACACGTTACAAAGAATAATGAGCACGTAGAAATTTTGTGCCCCAACCAAAATATTATTCATTCAGCCATCAATCTTGGATCAGAGTGCTCAAATACCCGTATGAACTGAGGGGGTCTAAATACATTTATTATAGCAGGTGTTCATCACAATTGAGTTAGGTCACTACATTTACATAAAACTTAATAGGTTCAGATATTATCTTTATATACTAATCACATTTTTTTTAATATTAGACAACGTGAAACTTCTTTTATTTGTTTTATACTTAACTCAACAATCAAGATATTTCAATGGAATCAATTGAAGAAAATAAATTTATCCCTTCACTGACTCAAAATTCAAAATTCAGCATTATAAATATCAAAGCAAAAGCTAGTGTCCATTGTCCCCTCAGAGTTAAGAAAATGTTTTTTTTTTTTTGGCAACTTAGGATAACATCTTCGTGTGTCTCCTTTGTTTTAAGACTTTATTTTAAGAATGTGTATATAGAAAAATATTAAAAGTAAGAGAGAGATAAAACAAACTTGTATGTAATATCAGACAGGATATAATTTTTTAGTGATTGAAATAATTGAAATGTCCTAGTAATGTATGTATTAGTAGGGAATGTAAGCAAGCACACAGCACCTGATGGAGTAAAACTAAGTAGTGTAGGACCAAAATATACATATTTTGATTTAAAGGGTTACTATACGATAAGTCAAGAAAGGAAAGCAACCCAACCGGATAGCCTAGATTTCGTCAAAAAGAAGAATGAGAAGGACAAGACATGTCTTGTGAGGAGTGACTTGTGATTCGCGTGTTAAACCAAGGCAAAGAAAGGAAAGTAAAAGAGAAAAAAAAATGCTTCCACTAAAGCTGGTTCGTTCTCTGGTGTTAGGGGAAACCATCAACCACAACCCTCACATGCTAACCCAAAATCATCACCATCACAACACGCATGATGATGATGATAGTATTGATGATGAAAGCAATGTAGCACATGACACATCACAACCCAACCATGAAAGAAGAAGAAGGAGAAGGAGAAGAAGAAGAAGAAGAAACAAAACCCCATGTCTTATATTTCTTCCAACAAAAGAGATCATAAGGGACACATATAGGCTTGCAACCATCGCAAGAGACTTGGGCATGGACTTGTACCCTACACCATCACTTTCCCACATCATCTTCTCTAACCCTTCATCCACAACACCATCATCATCATCCCCTTCAACCCTATCTACATGTTCCTTCTCTGCCTCCTCTTCCTCCTTCTCTCTCCTAAACGACGCCGTTCCCATCCCCTTCCCTTTACTCTCCGCAACCCCACTCACCCACCTTCGTTACTTTGTGACCCTTTCCCCACGCGCCTTCAAGATCGTCCTTTTCGATTCCGACCACCACCCACACGCCGCCGGCAACGTCAGCAACTGGGATTGCTGCTCCGTTTCGCTCTACTCGCGGGTCACCGGCGTTCGGGTCGACACCATGGAAGGGTTTTGCCGAATTCTCGCCGGAAAAGGTTGGACCTTTTTCAAAACCAAGAAAAACCCATCTCCGGATCAGCTCCGGCGCGGTGGCGGCGGCGGTTTTTACCTGTTCAGAAAGGTGGATGTGAACCGAGTTCGGGTGGGTCGGGTCGGTGGTGTTGGACCCGATGGGGCATGTAGGGTTAGTGAACTGAGGTTGCCTCACTTGGATTTTGGAAATGCTCCTTTGAGGATTTTGCAGTATATTTTGTTGATGACTGATGATATCTTCTGTTTGGCATGAAATTGGTAAGTTTTGGGTTGATCAGTTTCTGCTTTATTGTTTTTATGCTTAATAATTTAAAAAAATGAAATGAAATGAAATGCGTTGTGTTGATTGCTTTTGAATTTGGGGGTTGTTAGATGATGATGATGACAAGAGATGGACAACAAATAGGCCGCATCTGCTGCAATATGTTGAAGTGATATTGGGGAAATGATTCAAACTGTTTATCCCATCCTTTCTTGTGTTGTGTATTGGATTGGATTCTTGATGATGTTTATCCTCTTGATGGTGAAGGAAGTGGAATTGAAAAGATTTCCATGGAGACGTAAAAGTGTTGCAAGTGCTTGAATGATAAGAGGTTTACTCTGTGATTCAATCAAAACCCTATAAGAATGGAGGGTTGGTGCTGCCTTGGCCCTGGATATACATTGAACACACATGGCTGTGCAAACATCAAGTACAATTCTCAAGGATGGTGGAAGGGTGTGAACCTGAGGAGATGAAGCTACATTTTGTTGTTGATCTGGAGAGCTATGCCATTCCCATGACAACAACTTGGTAGGCTGCATTTGGTATGTGTGATCTTTTGGGGTAGTCATCATTTCAGTGGTAAATTTGAAGGAAGGTTATTGTCAGTGCACTAGGATTATCCTGTCCTTTAGCTTCGAGGCCAATACCCAGTTGGGGGCTTATGGCTTATCCTCGTCCACATCCATGCAGAACTGCAAGATGCTGCTGCAGCCATGTCCTGTAAGTTGGTGTATGAATACATTTGATTAAAGGTTGCAGTAGTTGGTTAGAAAATACCTCCTTAAAATCTGCAATGTAACTTTTTTTTACTGTACTGTAACATAACTGCTGCCACCTACACATAGCTTCACAATCAGTCATATCCATATATGCTTCTTTAAGTGAAAAATATGTAGCATACCATATTCCAGTAACTAAAGTGACTGAAAGTTAATAAGGCCCTGTCTTCTGTTGACTTTATATGAAATTTCAACGTTTAGTGTCCCATCAAAAGCATATGCAATGACAGAATTGATTATTTCCATCTCTGCAGGGTTAACTATCTTCCCTATTCATAGCCAATACTTGTAAGAAGTGCATGATCGCTTGAGTCCTCTTTGTTTTACAGAGATGCAAAAGAAATGTTTTTATCCAGTAACTCTATGCTTCATAGCTCTATATAATGGACCGTTTATCATAAGATCCATTTTTTTCCTGACAACAAAGTCAGAACTTATATCTTTCTTTGTCAACAAATAATTTGCTATGATGAATACCATAGTACTTCACTACCTGCTTGAATTGAGGGGTACTTTCAAATATGGTGTTGAGAAACACTCGCATTAATCATAGCAGCTGAATTGTTGTGCACTAATGCGTTGGTTCTAGCCTTGTTTAGTGAGTATAGATCAAACCTATAATCTTCACATTTTAATTATGAGAACACGTAAATCTTTATGTGTTCCAGCAAGAAGAAAAGAGATATTTATATTCACTATCGATTATAACTTCAAAAACTTTGTTTTTGCGAGTTATCGCTTTGTCAAACGGCCTATTAATTAATAAACACACGGTGATTTAAGTGCTTTTAAATGTTCGTGAAATTCATTTGCTCACTAAGCTTTGCATAATTCATGAAAATGATTGCTGAATATTTTTGTGATATAAGCAAGTTTTCCATGGATGTAGAGATTTTTAATTTAAATAAATTTATAATAAAATAAGGTAAACTGATAAAGGGTACTGTAGATTATCAACAAAGGCTGGCACAATTGATAGACATGTGTATGAAAATGATTTTGTTGAGAGATACTATACTCACCTCTAAAATCTCTCCACCTTGAAAAGAAATAATTTTTACTTGTTGCTTGAGGGATATCTTAGTGTATAGAAAAAATTGTAGATCATATATGCTTTTATTAATGACAATGAATATTTCATTATAGTAAATAAAAATGAAATAAATGAATTAGATTTTAACATTGAAAAAAATATATTAAAAATATGACGTATCATCTTGATATGGTATATTAAAATAGAAGATTTAAAAATTAAATTAAATCTAAGATTAATTACCATTACTATAATGTTAAAATATAGTTTAGTTAAAAATATCTTTAATTTAAAATAATGTATTTAAAAGGAATAAAATATTATAAAAAATAATAGCAAAAAATAAAAAAAAATGAAATCAAATGTTCAATAAAAAAACTGTGATTAATAAAAATAAAAATAAATCTTAAAAATAATGACTGAAATTTATAATAAAGGGATGAGTGAGTTAGCTAGCTTGTTTTATTATTTTAATCATTTAATTAATTCCTTAGAATTTAATATTATTTAAAATACTAAATAATATAAAGTTTAATTTTAATATACCCTAAGTTTAATCAATTAAAAATATAGTACATATAACCTTTAAATTAATTAGCATAGTTGTTAATAATTTTTGTAATATAATATATTATAATTTTGGTCTAAACTGCATGAATCTTTCAATAGAAACAATCATTTTTTAACCCTCTAAGTACCTCCTATTCAAATTGTACTTGACATAGTTACATTTACTGGAACTCAAATTCAGGACTACAAGTTAGGTTTTAAAAACTTGTACTAGCTAGTTAATTCATAAATATAATCAACTTTTCTCTAACCTGTATGTGTATTAAGATGTTTAATTTAAAAGTATTTTTTAAAATTCATAATTAAATAATAATATAAAAATGATACATTATGGGTGTATTTTAATTAAATCCATAAACTATATATTGAATATGAATTCTCATTCTTTAACTCATTTTTAAAAATTATCTTAAATCAAAATATTTTTTCAAAAGTTAGATTCTTCTCATTACGTGTCGTGATTTTTCCTTGAAGATAAGTTATTTTACATAAATTGAATTTAAAGATTATTATAATATTAATTAACCTTATTTTCAATTTAATTTTAAAATTTTAATATATCGAATTAGTAAAGATAAAAAGAATTTTTGAATTCAACCTTATTTTGAATTTTTTTTCATATTTTTTCTTAATTTTAAAAATATTTATTTTTAGTTCAGTTCTATCTAGTATATTAGAATGCTAATTATTATAATAAAAAAATATTATTTTTAATTTTAAAAAATATTTAGAAACATTTATACAGCATATTTAAAATATTTACTAAAAAAAATATTTATATTTAATAATATATATATATATATATATATATATATATATATATATATATATATATACGAGAATTTCATGTTTATATACTTCTTATGATAACGGCACAAAATTTTGTTTCAATATTGACATCTTCAAACCCCTAATTTGTTTGATCCGTGCACAACATGAACTATTTTAGGTTGGTGCCACTGCCAAGATATTTGCTGCCAACGGTTAAAGATTCATACGTTTTAAGTCACAGATAATCAAAATCAATTTTATCTCTTTTAATGAAATCTTTTCTATACTCTGAAAATTCATCCTTAAAAATCAGCCTCAACCCTTAAAAGTCTCTAACTACCAAGTCAAGCATCTTGATTAATCGAAAAACATGCAGATAGATGAAGATATACTAGGATTCTGGAGCCTGTCAACTATATATATACATACACAATATACATGTTTCTTTTTCCCTATACAAATTCCCTTCAGCAAACAACCCTTTTTTGAAAGTGTGTATCAGCAAGTTTTCCCCACTATCTCACTCATCTGAATATGATTTTCTCCACCTTTTTTCATTTCTTGCCTTTCTTAAACCTTGTTCTCTTCATGATAATGTGCTTTTTTACCCGTGAGAAACCCTTTGTTGTTCTGTTTTATTTGGAGTTTTATTTTTATGCACATAAGTATAACTTAGGATTCAAATTAAGGTTTCTTTGTTACTGCTGGGCTTTGTTGGGCACTTGCGCGATATGGTTAAAGGAGTGGCAAAGTTTGACTCATCAGCATTAGCGAGTCTATGTATTGAAGCTGCAAGAATTGCACAGAGCTGTGAATCACTTGGAGTCTGGATTGGAAGGATGAGTGTTGAGGAAGTGATATTGGATATAAGGAACGAATTCAAATATCTATTTGATAGTGGTAAGGAATTTTCATCAGTTATTGAGGTGGGCAAGCTTCCACATCATTCTAAAAGCACCAAATTAAGGCGTAAGATCTCTGGTCTTATTGTGTTTACATGAAATATTCAACATATTATTGTGAATGAGTTTTCTTTTCTCTTATTGTTTCCAGTGAATTGATCAATAAATTGAAACATTAGTATGGTATTTGATTCTTCTCGTTTTTTGAAATATTTGAAATTCCTTTACAGGAAGAATAGAAAGTGCTAATTAATGAAATCTGATGATGATGATGTTTCCTACACATTATCACACATGGAATGAACAAGAACTTTATCACGATTTACATTATAGTTTGAACCAAATATGAAGGTGAAAAAGAAAACAAATAGATGGGAGAGAAAGAAGTTGATCACGATTTACTTACGACAACTCACATTGCATGATCTCTTCCATGGCTACATCACATACAGACAAACACTTGAAACAAAGTAAATTTTTCTAAAGACAAGGATTTCTTTATTCACATGAATGTCACAACCAGAAAACCAAATACTTGCTTTATCATTTACAATTTACATAGATGATATCTTAAACCACAAATAAGATGCTCTATAATACAACAAAGCAAATTAAAGCACGCAAATTACAAGCACAAGCTGCACAACACCGTACAATTCAAGCAGAGATTTGGATTGGCTTAACATCAGGCTTCTTAATCTCTTCCTTAGGAATAGTGACAGTGAGAACCCCATTTTCCATAGAAGCCTTCACTTGATCCACTTTGACATTCTGTGGCAATCTGAACTTCCTCAAGAACTTGCCACTACTACGTTCAACACGATGCCACTTATCATTCTTATCTTCTTTCTCAATGTTCCTCTCTCCACTAATCTGAAGAACCTTGTCATCTTCAATCTCCACCTTCACTTCCTCCTTCTTCAGCCCAGGAATATCAGCCTTCAACACGTGTTCTTCTGGGGTCTCCTTCCAATCCACCCGTGTGCTCACAAAACCTGAATTTTCAGCAGAAAGAGAAAGATCCTTGAAGGGTTCCCATATTTCAAGAGAGAAAGGATCGAAAACGTTGGTCCTTCTGTTACCGAAGAAACTTGGGATCAGTGACATTTTCTCTTCCTAACTTAGATGGTGTTTGGAACGGTAGAGAGAATGTTACGTGAATTGTTATCAGATGACCCTTTCTTCTGTTTCGTGTTCTGTCTGGGGACACAAGAGGTATATAAATATCAAATCAAGGGACAATCTCGTATGTTCCAGAAAAGAAAAGGGGTCATGGCGGTTACTGTCTTGCTGATTGGTTTGCAAAAGTTTTAGAACATTCCAAAACCTTCTGGACTATTCTGCACCACCCAGAAGAATCTAGATAAATTCATTGTTAATTCGTCCTCATGTTAAAAAAATTTGTAATTTTTCCCTTTAAAATAATAAAAATATATTTTAAGATCAGTTTTTGAAATTATATTTTTATAAATTATTTTTAAAATAATTAAATTTTTCAAAATAATTTTAGAATTAAAGTTTACACTTTCAGAATAATTCTAGAAAGTGTAAAATTCTAATTTCGAAAACTTATTTTTTGAAAATGGTTAATAATTTTTAAAAATATCAAATCTTAATTCTGGAAACCAAGGGTGGTTTATTTTTCCTTTTTAAATATAATTTTCTATTTTTTAAATTAAAAAAATTATTTGTTAATTTAAGTTTTAAAAATAATTTTTAAAAAATAATTTTTAAAAAATAATTTTTTTACTTTTATTTTTTAAAACTAAAAATTAGAATAACTCTTAAAGTGTTTTTTTTTCTTAATTTTTCATGTCTCTTTCCAAAATTTTGAAGACAAGGATAATTCTGTTTTTATTAATGAAATGTTAGATCAATCATTTTATGAGAATGGTCAAAAAATATAAATTATGACATAAATTTGATAAACACTCATATTTTTTTCTTTTTAAAAATTTTTTTTATTTAAATTTTTACTCAAAACAAACACTAATATATTTTAAAAAAAAAACTCAAGTTTGATTATTCTTCTTTTTCTACTTTTTTAAATATATTTTACAATGAACTTTGTATTTGAAAATGATGAGATAAATGTATTTGAAAACGATAATATAAAATCTATAGCACAAAATTAGTATATGAGATTGAATGTTCGTATCGGATTAAGTACACACACATGCAGTAAGAGCTTCTTTTTAGTTGCTTTATAGGCTATGATTAATTTTAGCTTATATATAAAACATTTTCTTATTTTTTTTATCTTAAAAACAGTTTTAAAAATTAAACTATTAAACATGTTTTATTTTCATTTTCTTTTTAAAGATAATTTTATAAAATTACTTTAAAATATAATTTTTAAAAACTAAAAATTAAAATAAAATCAAACAAGCCTTACTCTTCTTATAGTTTCCTCTAATCAAACAAATATTTAGAGTGAGCAAGCATTGCTATCCTAAGACCAAGGTTGCAATTCATTTTTTTTCCTCATCGTGGCAATAACCATAACAATATAAATACAATTCATGGATTCAAATTTGGTGGAGTTCAAAAATGGTGCATTGATGCAGTCATCAAATTTATTGATTGCATTTAATAAATTATTTTTTTAATTTCAAAAGATTGGTCGACCAGAGCAGATTAAGTGTTAAGAAAATATTTTTAACATATTCTAAAATATTAATTAAAATTTACAAAAATATAAGAAATAATTATTAAATTAAAAGTGTGAAACATCATTTTTATATTTTTAATAAATAATTAAAATTATATTAAAATGAGTGTATTATTAACAAATTTTTAAACTTATTAAACCACATTAACAGATATTTCTAACACCTTTATTCACTTTGTAAAGTGTTGTAAGACCTTTTGAGTGTGAACTTAATTCTAGTTTAGTATTTATGGACTAATTAATAAATTGTTGAGTATTTTTTTAGCCGTCGCACATCTTTGTAAAAGTTTATTAATTGATTGTATATAGTTTGTTTTTTCTATCATAATTTGGAGGAATTTTTAACTCATTTATTTTAAATGTGTTCAATTTTATTTTAAATTTAATATTTTATTACTTATTGGCTTGAATTCTCACTGGTTTTGTCTTTAAATTTATTGACTCACTTACTTTTTTGGGTTGATATTGATTGTAGTAAAAAAAAAATATATTTATTAATTGTTTGGATAAATACATTGTGATCTTTGTGGTTACATAAAAATAAAATAGTATTTTTCAATGGTGTTTTGGATGAGAGAAGTCTTAAATTTTATTAATTTAAAGTCCTAGAGATGATTATCACTTATTAGTAAGGGAAAAACTATTTTGTTAGTATCTGAACCCATAAAATTGCATCTATCTTAATTTTGCATAAGTATATGTTTCTGCTTTTTATTTTTCTAAGTAAGTAATAATTTTTTTCTGTACATATGAATTTTGAATTCTCCTTAAACTCTCTCTAATAATATATGTTTTGTCTATAAAAAAATAATTTATAATGAAAATTGACATAAAAAAAAGTTCTTTGAAGCCATAAAAATTGATTGACAATTTATATATTTATCATCGATTTTAACTTGAAAAATTTTGTTCATCGAGTTAACTAAATTAAACAGACAGTTTTAATGTTCAAATTTTATTTCTTAACTAATTAAACTTTGCATGATTCACTAAAATGATTGCTAAATATTTTTGTGATATAAGCAAGTTTTTTATGTATTGCAAAATATTTCTAATTTAAATAAATTTATGAAAATAATAAGTTGAACCATTAAAGAGGTTTGTAAATCATGAAGAAGGTTGATACAATTGATAAACAGTTGAGTCACTTAAATATCCTAACAAGAGTTCAATTCAGAAGACTGCTGAAAGGGACTATACTCACCTGGGTAATCTCTCCACCTTAAAAGGGAATACAAACACTTAATTTATTAAAAATTGTTGATTACAAATATTTTTATTATTAATAATAAATATTTTATTATATTAAATACAAACAATTTAAAAGGATAAATCTTTGAAATTTTAAAAAATGAAAAAATAAATCATTAAAATCATGACTGATCATCTTGATATGATCTATTAAAATTCAAAATGTAAAAATCAAATTAAATCTAGAATCCGTTGAGATTACAATAATACTAAAATAAATATTATCTTAACAAATATCTTTAATTTGAAACTGTCTTAAAAGGAATAAAAATTATAATGAAATAAAATAAAATATTTAATACAAGCAAAACTATGTAATTTATTAAAAATAAAAATAATTCTTAAAATGTTGTCATTTTATAATAAAGATTCAAATTAATAATTAGTATAGAAAATTATATGTATTTACTATCTACTATAATAACGATACCTAGAAAACACATTACAATATAGGAATGAATGAGTTAGATAGCTTGTATTTAAAAAAAAAAAATTTATTTAAATTGTTTAAGTACATCCTTATTTAATTTTATTTAAAATATTAAATAAATATAGAGTTAAATTTTAATAAATTGTTGGTTTTAAAAATATTATATCTTCAACTGATAAGAATATGCAATACATATAAATTAATTGTTACAAAAGTCAGTTATTCTTATTAATATACCGATTTGATAGTATAAAAACTTTTACAATATTATTATATTTTAATTAAATTCATGAACATAATCTACTTTTATCTGGCAGTGTAGTAAAATATGAGTCCTCACTCTAATAGTGCTTTTAGATGTTATTTTAAATAAATCATTATACCTTAAATATATATTAAAATTTTAAATTATTGAAATATTAATAAATCTTAATTTTATTTCTATTTTTAAATTTTACACATCATATTAGTAAAGATAAAACAGAGTCTTTGAATTCAACCTTACTTTGAATTTTTATTTTTTCTTAATACTTTTTTATTTTAAAAACCTTTCTTTTTATTTTAATTTTATTTAGTATAATAGAATATTTATTGTTAATAGTAAATATATTTTTATTTATAAAATTTTAAATATTTATGAAATATATCGTTAATTTTTTAGTTTAGTATAATACCCATGCACAAAAATTGACTAGTTATATATTAAATTTGAGTCCTCTTTCTTGATACAGAATGTTTTTAAGAGATATCATAGATGAAAGTGTTTTTAGGATTTTTTTTTTCATTGAGCCATATGAGCATTGAATACAATTTAATTTTTCTTAATAAAATATATTTTAAATTTAATCTTATTTGATATAATAGAATATTTTTTATTAATATTAATAGTATTATTTTCAATTAAAAAATAATTTAAATGAAAAATTAGTTATCCAATATTTTTTAAATTTTTACTCAAAAAAATTATTTTAATTTAATAATACATGTATAGTGTATGAAAATTTCACTAGTTTTTACAATTTTCATGATAACTAAACAAAACTTAGTTTCAACATTGACATCTTCGAACTACATAATTTGTTTTTAGGGGGGTACCAAGATATTAGCTGTTAGCAGTTAACGATTAATCCGTTTCAAATCATACAGATAATCAAAATCAATTTTATCTCTTGATCGAATCTTTTCTATACTCTAAAATTTCAAAACTAAAATCATGCTTAGAATACTTGAAAGATTAGCCTCAACTCAACCCTAAAAAGTCTCTAACTACAAAGTCAAGCTATTGATTTAGTAATACAAAAACATGCAGATCTACAGAAGGATAAAGATATACTAGGATTCTGGAGAGCCTAATTTCATTGATGCTTGCGTGTCAAGTCAATTATATACATACAATATACATGTCTCGTCTTCCCTATACAAATTCCATTCAGTATACTACCCTTTTGAAAGTGTGAATCTGCAAGTATTCTCAACTATCTCAGTGCATTTAATGGCTAGATGCACATAATATATATTGATTTGAATATGATATTTCCCGACCTTTTTCTCTTCTTACCTTTCACAAACCTTGCTCTCTTTGTGATAATTTGCTTTTTGACACGTGAGAAACCCTTTGCTGTTTTGTTTTGTTTGGAGGTTTTTTGTTTTGCATATAAGTTTAACTTAGGACTCAGATTAAGGTTTCTATGTTACTGCTTGGCTCTGTTGAGCTCTTGGGCGATATGCGTAAAGGAGTGGCAAAGTTTGATGCATCAGCATTAGTGAGTCTATGTAAAGAGAGGAAGGAGTTTATTAAAGCTGCTAAGTATTGTAGGTTTGATTTAGTTTCATCCTTTGTGTTGTACTTAGAATCCCTTTTGGAGTTAGGCAATGCCCTCAACAAATATGTGGAACAAGAGTTGGTGATCCTTGATGATTGCTGTGCCCAAATTTCTCTTTCTGATTTTGATCCATGCGAAGAAAATTTCCACTTGGGATTTCCCTCCTCTGACTCTGACTCTGATTTGCATTCGCTATTTAATCACTCCCAAAGTGAAGAGGAAGAGCCAAGAGGCCTTAATGATACCCCAGAAGTGCATGATAAATGGCACACTTGTAAACACCATTCTGCAGCATATGTAAAAAATAGAGGGAAGACAAGAGATAAGAGTTCAAATCAAGAATGGTCTCATTTGTCCTATAACAATCCTCATCGTGGCAATCAAGACAATACTCACATTCATGTGGACATGTCATGTGATGATCTTGGACAACATTTGCATAGTCAACCAATGTCATTTGGCAAAAGATGGGAAACTGCAAAAGGTGATCATTGGTTTCCTCAGCACATGAATCATAACTCTTTTGAAGGTCCAATGTCTTTTCCCTACAACAATGATTGGTATGCACATCATGGTACCGAAGTATTTCCAATAGCTGTGTCCCCTAGTTATGATGAAGTGTCCCAAAAGCATGGAATTGAGCAAAATAATCCTACTACTGTCTTATCTACTCCTCCTCCACCTCAAGTCTCTACATGGGACTTCTTATATCCATTTAGTATGAATTATGATGTTCCTTATGACCACGATTGCGATGTGAGAGAAATAAGAGAAAGAGAAGGCATTCCTGATTTAGAAGATGAAAGTGAACAAGGTCTAACTGTGTCAGATTTTAACCAGAAGGAAATTGGAAGTGGGATAAGGCATGACTCAGGTAGTGGAAATGTTCCACAGTTAAATGCTAATGAAGATGTGCTGTCAACCAAATGTAAAGAGCTTGAGGTTAGGGGAAAAACCGCTGAGAAAGAAATCAAGTGTAGCTTGGAGTCTAAGGCGCCGGAAGTCATATGGTCTGAGGCAGTAGAAACAACATCAGAGAGCTGTGAATCACTTGGAGTCTGTATTGGAAGAATGAGTCTTAAGGAAGCAATATTGGATATAAGGAATGAATTCAAATATCTATTTGATAGTGGTAAAGAATTCTCATCAGTTATTGAGGTGGGCAAGCTGCCACATCTTTCTAAAAGCTTCAAATTAAAGGGTAGGAACTCTGATCTTTTTGTGTTTACATGATATTTTCAACATGTAATTATGGATGGATTTTCTCTTTTTGTTGCCTGAGAATTGATCAATAAATTAAAATATTACTATGATGTTTGATTCTTCTTATTTTTTAAATATTTGAAATTGATTTACAGAAAGAATAGAAAGTGTTAATGGAATCTAATGATCTTACGTTTCTTATACATTACATTATCACACATGGAACGAACAAGAACTTGATCATGATTTACATTATAGTTTGAACCAAATATGAAGTTGAAAAAGAAAACAAATAGATGGGTGAGAAAGGACTTTATCATGGTTCACATTATTTCTTTTCAGCCTTTGCTTCTTGTGTCCTGGGGTTCATAAACCCTTCACTACAAACATGTTTGTGCCCTTCATACATTTTAGGCCTTCCATCTTCTAGAGCAAGGCTGTTGTCCAATGCTGACATGCGAAACAATCAAGAGCATGTTTGTTGTGATCTTTCGAGTACTTTGGAGAAGCTTTATGTGTGGGAAAAGAAACTTTATCAAGAAGTAATGGTAAGCAATTACTTATTTATCACATATATGCCTTTTTTCTGATAGTTTGCAAACTTTGTGTTAGACTTTTCTTTTAATGACAGGGTGAAGAAAAACTTCGAATTCCCTATGATAAGAAGTACAAGAGGCTAAAAGAATTGGATAGTAGAGGTTCTGAGTCAGATAGGATTGATGAAACTCTTGCTTCTATCAAACTTTTACATTCAGAAATAAATGTATCTGTTGCATCAATCAGTTCAATATCAAGAGAGATAAATGAGCTAAGAGATAATAAGCTGCTTCCTGAAGTAAACAAATTGATTGAAGGGTATGCTACTTACCTCCCGTTCTTTTATTGGTTAAATTATAAATTTAATCTATATACTTGACATAATTTTTTAATTGGATTTTCACATAAAAACAGATTGATGTAAAGACAATATTTTCAATAGTAGGGAAGATGTCTGATTCCATTGAAATGTCCATGTTATGTTCTGACATTTTAAAATTATACTTACACAGCATCTTTTTTATAGTTTAATTAGATTGTGGAAGGTCATGAGTACATGTCACAAGAAACAATTCCGAGCTATCACAATGGCCAAAAGTCATGTACATATATTAGATTCTGGTTATAAGAAAAAGTCCACCTCAAAAGCTACTCTGAGATTGGAAGGGATGATCTTGAATTGGGGTAAGTGCTTCAGTAACTTCATCAACACACAGAAGGCCCTCGTGAGACACTTGAATGATTGGCTTCTAAAATGCATTGTCCAAGAACCAGAAGAAAATGAAGATGGTATTATTGGCCCTTTCTTAGCAAGTGATACAGAAGCTCCTCCTATTTTCAGGGTTTGCAATAATTGGTACCATGAAATTGACAAGATTTCAGAAATTGAAGTCTCCAAAACCATTAGTAATTTTGCCTCAAGTTTGCACCACTTATATGAGAAACTGGAAGAGGAACAAGCATTGAAAGTTAGAGTGCAATACCTTTTAAAGGATTATCAGTACAGGCTTAAATCCTTCTGCAAGAAGAATGGCATCTACTCACAGTATTGTTTCTCTTTTATCAATATGAAAGCCTCGGAAGATTTTGTAGTTGGTGAAATTCCACTACTAAGTGTAGCTGATGACAATTTAGCAACTTCAAGGGAAAAACTGGTTGAACAGAAAAAGAGACACCAAGTTGTTTTCAATCATGTTAATGACGTTGCTTCAAGTTGCTTACAAGAGGGTCTCACTCCCATTTTTAAGGCTCTTGGAAGCTTTTGTTCGGAAAATCTGAAAAATTATGAGCATGTCAGGTTATTAAATTCTAGCCCCCATGAATAAGTAATCATGTGTTAGAACCTGTTGAACAGAATAGAACCGAGAATAACACATTTTTGTAAAGTAGGTTACAAACATCATGGGCCCTTGTTTTAGCTTACCCTTTCATTGTGATGATTTGGAATATAATATTTGCTTTTCTTAATGCAACTGCTCAATGTGTATGGGGCTTTAGGCATTCTTTCTTAGTTTTTTGCATATAAATCAAGATTGCCTTTTGTGTGGACTGTAAAATAAAGATTGCTAACGAGGAAAGGTTTCGTTTTCAATGCCAGACAAAAAAGTGTAGTTGAAAAGTTAAAAAACACGAACACCATAATTAACATTAGGATTCACCATATTTTAATAAATAGGATTTACCTTCAATTCATCCGTGACAGAATCGGCCAGGTAGGTAAGATACGTGGATATTATTACCCAGCAGAAGTACTCCCAAGTACTTCTTGTCGTTGACTCATAAACCAAATTCTTTGTAATATGAGACCCTTAAAAAACCAGAATGAAAGAAAGGAGGGAAGTACCCCCGGAGACATCTCTACGTTCAAGAAACGAAATTTGCCAGTTAATTTGCCACAAACTGTTTTCCATACCTGTATACTGCTCCTCTACCTGCCTATTTCGATTTACTTGTTTTAAAAAAGCATTTGTTTTTTATAATTTTTTTTTAGAGAATTTTTTAAAAAGTGTTATTTGTTAAGTATAACTGATCGTCAAAAATATAAACTCACATGTTTCGGACAGAAGGCTTTTAACGATTACATATATACCACTATGTTCCCAATAAATAGTCTATACTCCAAATTAATCCGACAGAATACAACAAAATCAAGATGGAAAAAGATAATGATCACCTCATTCATACGAGTGACGTGTAACTATCTTCCACTAAGTTATGCATTATTCCACAACGTGTACAACATAGCTACAAATTATCAGTTTAATCACTAAAAGTTTAATTTTGGAGAAAAACCTACTCTGTCTAACATTTTATACAGCCTAACAGTTGTGAGAATACAAGAAAACCGTACAGGTAAAACGTGATATATATAAGTGCCTCCAGTAGTTCACCCATTCCTATTTTTATTCCCTTCCAAGGGCTCCACTGGTGTCCCAGCAAAACATAGCATGCATAGCATCCAATTTCCAGCGCCCAACGCAATAAACCTTTGACAGAAATAGAAACAGTGAGGTCCGCAAGCACAAGGCAAACCATCTGAACTTGGGAGTCATGACTTGTCTGGAATAAGCCCAAGTTCCCTAGTGTTGACTCCAAATCTATCTTCACTTTATCTCTACCAGCAGAACCTAACCATGGGACATGGTATTTCAGCTTTATCGCAAATATAGAAGAGTCAACCAACTACTAGTTCAAATATGCTAATAGGTTGAACAATGGAGGATAAATTTCGTTAAATTATACCAATTTGATGTCTGCCACAACCCACATATGACGAGAGACTATTTAAAGAGGTTAATCAAGTGATAACCGATTTGGAGTTTGTTAAATAATTTGCAAGAACCTTAGTACGAGAATATAAGAATGCCATGTTTAAGTCAAAACTTAACATAGAAATCTCACGAATCCCAATTGCACCTTCAAATTGCTCACACAACATGAGAAAAGCAGTGACACTCCTGATTTTTCAGATCAATGCAGTTCAAGTTTGTCTCTATGACAGCCACCACCATTGCCACTAAATACTTGGTGAAACAAAGGCATTTACCTTATATACGTCTTGACTTCTGCTGTGGAGGATATCCTGGCATCCCCATTTGATCTTTTCTTCTCAACTGTTCAAAAAGAAAACAAGAATATTACATCCACCTTAGAGAAAGGACAAAAACTAAACCCATGCTTCCTTTTCCCAAAAAAACACTAAACCTGTTGCTGATGTGCCTGTGGAACACCTCGTTGCACTGGGATACCACTGGGATTCATTCCACCACCCATCCCTGCCTGAGATGTGAGATTATAAGCTTGCATTGCCTGATGAGGTACTCTTTGCATGCCAACAACATTCATTGGCCGAGGAACAGATCTATTCGATGCATGACCACCAGGCATGCTCCCCGAAACTGCAGCTCCAGATGTAACCTACCTCAAGATTAAGAAATATATACATTCAAAAGTATGAAGCGGAGAATGTTTGTGTGTATATGCTTGTGCTATGGAAGCATGTAAATACAAAACTAATATTTACCAATAACCACAAATGGGTATATTTTTCAGGGGAAAAGGAAAAGGCAAATTAAATTTCAGAAAGTAATCAGAGTATCCATTAAGAGAAACCACTCAGCATAACACAGTTAAGTGACTTCAGTCCTATTAAAAATAGCAAAATCATGAAAATGTTCATGACTTCTTTGCACAATGTTGCAAAACTACTGAGTATAACTCAGATAATATAAATATAGTCCATAAAAAGAAGATCTAAGGACAAATTTGAATCATATCCTGTATTTCTGATATGCCCCACTCAATGAGAATTCTAAACCGATGAGACTACGATATTAAGATGGCTTACTGATAAATTAAGTGACATAGTTTTTCAAGAGGATTTTCAGTTATCTATGCATACCGGCTGTGAAGGTTGCATGTTAGTTGTCCCTTCAAAATCAGTTGTTGTGTCCACTGGACGTGTGGGATAACTCACAAATGTCTCTCCAGGTTGGCAGGGTACAAGTGCACTGAACATTAATGTCACAGACATGTTTAATTGAATAAAATTGATTTTGGAACACAAGCTTAACTTAATGAAGACTACTACTTATGAAAAGAACTATGTGAATATTGTTTATCTATAAATCTTCCAAAACAAATTTTTAGAGCAATGAAAAATACTCAACGGTGGAAGCAAAAGGCTTTCCACAATCAAAGTTTAGGGAAAAGACCAAACCAAAATAACGCAATGAGGAAGAAAAAGGCCTTACTTCCGCCCAGGTAGTGGTTCAATTTTGAAATACCTGGCAAGCAAAGCATAAGGATGTTTAAGTGAAAAGATAATAGCTGAAAGATACAAAGGAACTAATTATATAACAAATAAAGATACACATATATAATTATATATTACAAAAAGGTGTCTTTCCATCAAAAGTCACGTGCAAATCCATCAACATAACTGAAGAATCTTTGCATCGAAAGCAACACCCTATCTTTAGCTTTCTCTACCATACATCCAAGTCAAGTCATATTGATGAAGTAAAATTGCATCAACTTCAAATCTCCCATGTTTTCAAGATCTCACTCTTTAGTTTGTATGATAAAATGAAGACAGCAAGCCACAAGCAATTATGAAACAATCAACAAACTAACTCTATGAACACATGACATGGAATAGCTAACATAACTAATAGTACTCTTAGAGGAATTGACAGAACATCAAGGCAACGAGGCCATTGAGCTTGGTCAAAAACAAAACTATCAGAAATATTATTAACTAATAAATATCTTTTAATAACTTCTTTTAAGGTTCTTCTGAGTCTTCCTCGACCTCTTTTTACCAGACCAATAGTGTCATCCACATGACATGGAATAGCTAACATAACTAATAGTACTCTTAGAGGAATTGACAGAACATCAAGGCAACGAGGCCATTGAGCTTGGTCAAAAACAAAACTATCAGAAATATTATTAACTAATAAATATCTTTTAATAACTTCTTTTAAGGTTCTTCTGAGTCTTCCTCGACCTCTTTTTACCAGACCAATAGTGTCATCCACTCTATTAGTGCTTTCAATAGTCTTCTCTATACATGATCAAACCATCTTAAATGGTTTTAGTAATTTTTTTCACTATAAGTACTACTTCAATATTATCACTCATATGATAATTTCTTATCTTATTTTTTCTTGTGTGTTCACTCATTCACCTTAACATTCTCATTTTAACACAACATTTTTTTCTTTAAGTAAATGAGTTTAAGAAAAGCTTCTCGACTTGTTTTGACGAAGACTACAACAATCTGTGCCCACCAACATAACTATAGCAACTTCTGATTATAATTATATTGAACACAAGATAGAAAGTCGAGATCCAAATCATTCAATAAACCTTCATAAGCATGCCATATCAAGAAAAGAAAACATAAACGGAAAAAAGGTGAAATCTTGTCAAGATTCAAAGAGACAGAAGCCATCAACCAATGAAATGTTAAATCATACTTCTCAGTCACTAGTCATGTAGATTTTCATGGAAGAACAAAGGACAATAAAGGGAGTCTTACTCATGCTCTAAAGCTTGTGCTGCTGTTATGCGCTTTCGTGGATCATATCTGCCCATAATACACAATCCATTTTATTGCAAAACAAGAAAAGATAAGGCAGAGAGAGGGGGTTTTCATGAAGACAGAAAGACATTACATTCACATATTCACAAAAGCTATATGAAATATTTACAAATTGAATGCCACATGTGACAAAACTGAAATAAGTTCACATTTGGTTAGCTAGAAACAATGACTGTAATGGGAATGAGGATAGAATAATTTTTCCTATCAACGTGTTTGGCATTAAGAAAATTAAACAACTACTCCATTCTACCCCTATATGGTATGCCAAATCAGGCAGGAATTGTAACGCTCTTTCATGCTTCTAAAGAACCGCAAATCCAGTTCTACTGATTTAAATTATAGAATTTTTTTTAAATATATTCTAATGAAATTAATGTCACTCAAATGATATTAAATAACTTGTTCTGTTGTATGAAAATTTTTATTAAATTTCGGGAATAGTAAATACAAATTATCACATATGTTAGAAAAATTAATAAATATTTGTGAGTTGAAAAATATATTAGAATAATTATTTATAATTTTAATTATTCTGAAGAGGTAATGTATGTGTAATTACAAAAAAAATTAAAAATGCAAGAAATAGGTTGAAAATTCTTTTAAATTAGTAAAAATATTTTTAAAATATAGAAAAATTATTTTTAGGTTAAAAATTTGTTAGAATAATTTTTTTGAATTTTCTATATTTTCTATATTATGTATATAGACTAAAATGCCCTTGGTAAAATTTTAAAATGACCAAATTGCCCTATTAACCAGGTAGTTTCCATGCCTGGCCCATTACTAATTCTGAGCCATTTTTGGTTCAATTTTAAATGGTGTTCCACTCCACCCAATGGTCAATTTAGCATCATGAAAGAAAAATACAACGTCCTTTTGTACAGGCATAGCAAAATCTCTCTCAGAAGCTTAGAAGGAAAAACTTACTCAAGCATCTTTGACAAGAGGTCATATGCAGGACTTTTTGGAGATAGGTGTACAACATTATAGAGGCTGGCGTTCTCACTGTTTGCAAACAGCAGCAGAACAGATCCATCAATTTAATAAAAAAAATTATCTCGAAGACCAGGCAAGAAAATGAGAAAACAAAGGATTCACACCATATGAAAATAAGTCTATCTGCGTTTTTTCGTATAAATACATTAAATAATGATCTTACTATTTGTGTCCCTGTATATGTTGCGTATCTTGTTGCCAATGGGGAAGATTTGCTAAGGAAGGCCACTTTTCTAATGTTGGATGGCCTGGCACAGTAACAATGTCCACTGATGTAGGTCTGGAATATCATCAAAAGAATGAACACCCCCCAGTAGGGAGAAAGAAAAAATGTAAGCAAATAAATTACCTAAAACCTTGAATATCTTGTCAAGTTGATCGAGCTGCACATGGAACAAGGATTTTTAATCCAGAATGACAAGGTGTACTAATTCAACTAATCAGAAAGCTGTAAGTTATAATATCAACTATCAAGTACCTGAAAGGGATTTGGTGTAGCTTTGACTTCTGCACCTTGAAATAGTGGCTTCAAGGTCAACAACTCAGCAAAAATGCAGCCCACAGCCCACATGTCTAAGTGTCTATTTAAGAAAACATAATCGGACCAATTTTCAAATTAGATCATACAAACACATTTATTTATTATACAAGGTTGATAAGCCTATCTATGGATTGTGAGTACCACACTCCCCAACATCCACATGGATAGATTCAAATTTTCAAAATTCAGTTATACCAGGCCAACATTTCTTGTAGACCCTCAATACTTTGACATAGATTCGTTGACAGCAATAACTTATTCAAGAAACAACCTCAAGTCAAATTAGCAACAGCAGCAAAAGTACCAAGCATCTTGTCGGTATATAGGTTAAAAGACTCAAGAAATACCCATGAAATATTAATAACTTCACACATGTATAACCCTGAAGTTAACCATCAACTTTTTTTTTCACTGGCACAGTTGCAATTATTTGACTGGCAAATCTTTCAATATCTATAACTTAAATTAAAGGATACCAACAGCACTGGTATAATGTTTTGCTCCAAGAAGCAGCTCAGGTGCACGATACCAAATGGTTACAACTACCTGCAAGTTCATATATCATAAATACAGGAATCTGAACCATCAACATATGAAAAGCTAAAATGTGATACATGTGCACAGCTGACGGAAGGTTATAGATGATAACAGGCAGTGCACGTTTAAGCACCCAACGTGTGCAGAATCAAAAGAACATGAGGCTGCCAGAAGACTTGACAGAGATCAATACACTAAACTTGAAACAAACAGTATCCATTACTCAGCTTATAGCAGAAAGCTGAGTTAGTGCCAGCCTTTAATCCACTCCTACTGTCAGTACTATGCTTGTTCAGATTTTAGCATCTTATATAATAAGAATAACTTATTTAAAGAACACACAAGAAGATTTCTCAAATAAACAGATGATATACACAACACAGGTCGATGACCACAGAAAAGGTGTCCATACCCCATTTTCAGATAATGGCTTCAAAGGGGCCTGATAAATCCTTGCAAGTCCAAAGTCAGCAATTTTAACAACCCCATGTTCCTCCCCATCACCCATAGCCTGTTCATTGAAAGTTCATCACTAATCAAAAGTGAACAAATAAATTTGAACCCAAATGTCAACTTATAGCAGTAAAAGAACCTAATCATACAGTGATAAGGTGGCCAAAATCGTACCAATATATTTGACGGCTTTAAATCTCTATGTATTATCCAATTACTACAGGAAAAATATAATAAAATAAGTCAACATATAAACACAAGAAAGAAAAGAAACCATTATTGCCAATTTCACAATAAAAAAGACTCACCTGTGCAGATAGTTTAGTCCATTGAGCAGCTGCCAGAGTAACGATTTAACAGTATACTGGTTTATGGGTTGGCTGACTTTGTCCCTGTGATGTCTTATTATTTCCTGCCATTCGAGATTGCAATCTTTAAACTCAACTAACTAGAACAAGTAAATCCTTGCTACCTACATATCCATCTTCCCAGTTCCCATGGAAAATTCACAAAATTTTGTAAGATACAGAAGAGTAACATTTTTACAACTGCATAAAATCAATTGCAGAGACCATGATAATTATATAAGAGAAGATGCCACAACAACAACAAACCTAACCTCGCCACATGGGAATGTTAAAATCCAATATTAAAAAGCAAAAACACAAAAAAATTCAGATATCAGAAAGTACACTTTTTCACTGGAAACATTTTGATAAATTACAAAAGAAAATCACAACTTCAACTCAAGTGCCTAAATAAAATGCCAAATTAACAGTTATACAATCATATACTCACATAAAGATCATGTTCTGCATAATCAAAAGCTAGATACAGAGACATGTCTGCATGATTGATGTGGACATTCACAAGTTTCACAACGTTATCGTGCGCTATCTCCCTGAGTAACTGCAGCATCGAATGAAATTAACTGAAAATCAATCTAAAGCACCAAAAAAAAGAAATTAAAAATAAAACCTCCTCTAGCACAAGGTTTCCAAACGAACAATTCTAAATCTTTGGTACTATTTATTCCTACAAATCTTCCTAATTATTTACAAATAAAGTGTTAAACATATTTTGTGTTTAAGATAATTCATGCACGGTTTTATTTAATGCTTAGTTTACAAATTAAAAAAAGATTATTAAGAAATATAACGACGCTATTTTCAAACTACAAATAACAAGTATATTAGCGTTTTACCTTATTCACCATCCAATGCTTAAAAAGGAAATAAAAAAAACCTCAATTCCTTGGAAAATTCAAAATAAAATAAAGTAAAAACTCCAATACTTTCAGCGAATAACTTCCGTAACTGCAATTAACGAAACAGAGAAATTTCACGATAAATTAAAAAAAAAAAAAGGTACCATGATTTCACGGATAGCGGTGGGAGAGACACCGTCACCATCCTTAGATTGTTTGAATTTCTTGATGGCGATGGATTTTCCGCGATTAGTAGAAGACTTGATTCGAGCGAGGAAGACGAGACCGTACGTGCCTTCTCCGATCTTCCCTATCAGATCATACTGCTGAAGCCACTCCGGCTTGTTGCTATTGCTGTTCGACCGGTTGCCGCCGGTGGTGGCAGTGCCGTCTCCCATGGTGGTTCGATGCGTTTCGATCACGATCTCAATTCAACCACGTAACCGAAGCTTAAGGCCCTGTTTGGATGCAACGTTCGGATAAGTGAACGTAAAGCATTTTTTCAAGTAATAATAACAATCCTATACAGTAAAATTTTTTAAAATTAAACTGTATTAATATATTAAGTTGCATTGAAAAAACGAGAATCGTGAATTTTAAATGGAGAAAAATTACAACTAGAAAAGGCAAGCAATAAGCTGAACTTTATATTATAATAACAATAAAAATGAAAATGTACTAAAATATTCACGTAAGAACTAAAATATAAATTTTGTAAGTATAATAACTAATTTGTAATTAAAATATGTATTTTAAAAAATATGATTAAAACCCATCCAAAGTGTTATGTTAAAATATTTTTATTAAGCCATTAAATTATATAGCGTGAAACGGTTCGTAGTACTGTTACATTAATACGAAATTTTATTGAATTTTGCAAATTTATTACATAATTTTCTTTTTATAAACTTGAGTTCGTTAATGGATGGAAGAATGATTAAAGATTAAAACTTGTAATTAAAAGTTAAATTGAAAATAGTCGAAGCTCAGTTTGTGTACTTTGTTTTTCGTTGTTGTTGAACAGAGGTCACTTGTAGCAGCATCAACATGAACATCTCTTTAGTAAAAAGGGAAAATTTTCTCTTTCCATTCGATGTCATTAAGATTTGTGTATTAATAAATTACGGGCTTTCATTTATTTCTCATAAAATGTGTCATGTAACATGTTCAACCAACTATGTCAGATGGTAATAAAAGTTTCTCATGATAATCAGATATATTAGAGTTTTAAACTTGCACAAACAGAGTCTTTTGATTAGAAAGCTTAATGAATAATCAAATGCTCAATCAATATTACTGTCTTCTAACTTGTTAGACATGGAACATAATAAGAGTGCAGAAAGAGTTTATTTTAATGAACAGTTCAAGTACATGTGGACCACCCATTGTTCTTTATCTTCAAGCTTAGTAATCTCCATGACAGAAATAACCTTCACTTATGAATAAATAAGGTAGTATTTGGCATATTTTATTTAAGTTTTAAAAGTTATAAAAAGTTTTTAAGAAGTTAAAGTTCTTTGATAATAATATTCTTTTTATGACTTCAAAGTTATTTTTAAATAAATTTTCTTGCATAATGTGCTATGAACTTTGGAATAGAAAAATAAAACTGAGAATGAGAAGTTCTTCTCAAAATTAATTTATCTTAAAGCTATATATATATATACACACATATTAATTGTTTTATTTGATACTATATATATTTTCCTTAAAAAGTCACAAAATATTTTTAGTTATTTTAAAATATTAATTTGTAATTAATGCTATATTTTCCTTCAATATCCTCAAAATCTGTTTCCTTGTCCTTTGCAATATATCAGTAACTAAGAGAAGTAGTTGCATCATAATACACTTTAAAAGTTCTAACAACCACTCACCCCCACGGGAACATGTCAAGTCACAATCATGAAAGTGTTTTAAATTCATGTGCTCTTTAGTTTATTCACTGCAATTATATTTCTTATATGTAGCTGAAAAATGAAAATGTTACCGAGTCTTCGATGCAATTCAACCAAAGCTTGGTAAGAAGACATGGTCATGTGAAGCAACTTCTTGCAGTGGACCACTATAAATGTCCATACAACTCAGACAGTAAATTGCATTAACTTCTATGGTGCGTCCTACGACATAAATTAATATAAAATAATAAGGTTGTAACAGAAGGAACCTCGTAGTCATGCAGATTGGAGTGCCAGAAGCAGGCCTCTACCAAATTAGCAACATGTTCAACCTGCACACTCCACCAACCCTTCATCATCAGTTCAAATTACTACCATGCATCACACAATCTGTTTTCTATCAGATTTATTCAAATTACTTTAAATTAGTAAAAACAAGATACCTCGTTAATTTCTGCTGTAAATTGTAAATATTTACAATTTTTTGCTTCTACCTTAACAGCATTTATAACTAATAATGATAATAAAAAGTCTAGCATTTAAAGTCAGCCTCTGACTTTGTAAGTTGTAGTGGATAAGAAAAGATTGGCATTTCCTTGAAATTTGGGTTGCAAAATTCTCAAATGTGTTGTTTTATACAAAAGCAGTTGTTGAGTTTTTCACACCAATTCTCAAAGAGACACCAAACTTGCCTTGAGGTTTTGTTTGCAAAATGTTTTAGATAAATGTTAATTAGTGTTCTTACAAAATGTTAAAAACATAGATTTTCAATGCATCTCAATGTAATTTTTAATAAAAAAATTTAGTTTAACCAACCCTCAAGATCCAATTTTTCATGCACAACTTTTGAGGATAATTTTAGTTGTCTGCTCTATTTTTTTATTGTATTTTCAATATGCATATACACAAAATATAAAAAAAAGTAAGTAAAAAATAAAATTCATTGTATAATATATGATATTAATTTTAGTTCTCTTACTGGAGTGTAAATTGAGAAAATTACACCATTTTCACGAAAAGCACTTTGATTACTACATGTCATACCAGATTCTATCCATCAGCATGACAGTTAAGAATGCATGGATAAAAGCACATTGAACTGCTACCTCATTCCTCTAGCAATCTCCGCCAGATCTACCTATAATTAGTTATCTACTCTCCTTCCTAACATCTTGCTACCTCTCTCTCTCTTTTCTTTCTGTCCTACTAACGAACTACACATTTTCTTGGCTAATGGATTTGTTCAAACAAAAGGGTGTGGTTTACACTCCTGTGAAGGATGTTGACTTAGGTCCCTATAGCACTGAATTCTACCTCCAAGCCAATGTCAAAGGTTCATTATGCATCGTCTCTTCTTTTCTTTTACTAGATTCTTGGCATCTTCATTTCTTATTCTCTTCATATGGTTTTCCATCAAAAGCTTATTATGATTCTCTTTCTGATTATGATATTTAATATTCTCTAGTTCGAAGCAGAGGAATGTCATTGTATCAGGTTTACAAAAGGTTCTGCATGGGCTTTAAGTTTTAACTTTCAACGATAATATTTGAATGTCATTGGTTTCTCAAGTTCAGAATCTTTGCTTATACAAGTCTTAATCTTGATGGATGATAACCATGCACATCCACAAAATGCTAATGATATTTTCAATATCACAGCTCCTCGCATGACTGGAATTTTGGTCAAAATTTTCACTCACTTATTGGAGTGTCCACTACTTGGAACTTTGGTACTGTTCATATTGAAAGGAAACAATCTTATTCATAAGGTATGCTCATGGTCCATGTTTCCATGATTGAATTCCATTCTCTCTTCATAAACTTCACTAAGCAAATGTTCTTTTTTATTTGTTTCTGCAGCTTATTACAAATGCAGAGTTAGAAGAGTCACCTCTCTTTGTTCCCGTGCATGATTTTGAAGGTTTGAGAGAGATTATGGACATGAGCATATTGATTGCAAAATTTTGGTTGGCCTTGATAGAAATTGCATCACTAATTTTGGTTTATTCTTAGTAGACATAAAAGAGAAAGAAGTAAAATGGTTGGATCCTTCTTTATCTCCACCAGAGAGAGTTCAACTTGCACTAGATTGCTTGCCTATATCTTCAGAAGAAACACTTGATGGAATAAATCCTTCATTCTGTCGGTGGACAATAATGGATTACTCCAAAGCTTACCTATCAGGGGACATTACACCAAGCATGGTAGTTTTCATTGTTTATATTCTTTTAGCATGTTGTCATCATGCCATTTATGTCTTCACTCAATCAACACTTGGCATGCATGAAGTGATATTGCTTTACATTGAATAATCTGCTACTACAAGGTCATTCAATATACGGTATCTCTGATGATTACATAATTAAGTCCTCATTTCAAGTAGTTTCTTTTCACAGGTTGCAGAACGACTTATTGCTGCTATTGATGAATCCACAAAACTCCCACTCCAAATGGGATTCTTTATTCACTATAATGCTGATGATATACTAAAACAAGCAACTGAATCAACTCTTAGATTCCAAAGAGGTACTTCATAGCAACTCAAATATCAATTCAAAATCAGATGACTTCCTTCAACCTGTATATGATGCCATCTGATAGTGTTATTTTTATTGAAACTCGTAAATATGAATAATTGTCCTTTCTGCAGCCAGAAGTAAAATGTATGCTACTTACCTTTCCCCTACCCCACTTTCTGACATACACATGTGCTAATGGTACAAGTCTCAGGAATACTGTTTCTAATATTGAAGGCATAGAAAAGAATAATTTACCAATTGTAGTACAGAAATTACCCTGTCATCATTTGCATGCCATTAGTCAGACTAGTACTATTAAGTAATAACTGTGGCACTGATTTCCTTTCTTTTTAGGCTTTCTCCTCATTTATGTTCATATGTTATGTGTACTCTACCTGTCAACCATGTTCAGATACTCATTTGATGCAATATTAATTGTGCAGGGGAAACTATTTCCATGCTAGATGGAGTTCCTGTTGCTATCAAAGATGAGATAGATTGTTTGCCATATGCAACAACAGGTAGTGTAATGTGTTGTTGTTCTCTCAAAGGTATCATTCCAATGATTAAGCTATTGATTTCATGATTCACTTAAGCATCTTAAAATGGTGTCCTCAAGGAGGTACAACGTGGCTGCACAAAGAGAGGCCTTGTAAAGATGATGCTTGCTGTGTTAAGCGTCTAAGATTGTGTGGTGCCATACTTGTTGGGAAAACCAATATGCATGAACTTGGGTCTGGAGCTAGTGGGATCAATCCACATTATGGGTACTAGTACCATGTGTTATACTTACTCATAGTCAAATTATGTAGCTGGCAAAATGAGCTTCCTAGTCCATTCGGGCCAATCTGGTGCACACGGCAGGCTTTAGTGGACTGGGTCAAAATTTGGGCTTTTACTGATTAAGCCCGGATCGATTTAAATGACCCGAATTTAATTCAGGCCATTTTGCCGGCTCTAACATTATGTTACATTTTTGGTGGACAGTTTTATGAATCAAGTACTAGGAAATCTACACAGAATTAGTTGGTGATAACTGCATTTATGTTTATTTAATTTATAGGCCTGCTAGAAACCCATATGATCCCAGGAAGATTGCTGGAGGTTCTTCTAGTGGATCTGCTACCGTGGTGTCAGCTGGACTGTGTCCTGTTGCTCTTGGTGTTGATGGGGGAGGTATTTGATTTATATCTGTACATGAAAGACCAGAGAAATCAGCATTTATTTTGCTTAGTAGCATTGAACATATATCTGTTTCAGCCAAAGTGATATACATGAATCTACTAGGTAAATCTATTTCAGTAGTGCATGAATATTATGAGTACATATACTAGAAAAGTTGATGAACTACTATGATGTTTGCTGATATGTTCAGGATCTGTAAGGATGCCAGCTGCTCTTTGTGGTGTTGTTGGTCTGAAACCAACTTTTGAACGTATACCTCATGATGGGTAGGTATTCATTTTTGTTTTATCATGTTTAAATACATGGAGGGTTGTCATGACTTAGAAGAATGATCCCTTTCCTATATTCAGAGTTCTTCCACTAAACTGGACAGTTGGAATGGTTGGAATACTATCAGGCACTGTTGAGGATGCATTGATCACGTTAGTAGTCCTTTCTATGATACACTTTCTTCTAGGAAGTTCTAAGATTGGTTTTTAAGCATCTATTGTTCCATTGTTCTTAGTTATGCAGCTATTGGTGGTGAAATTCCATCACATCAGCCCTCTACTGTATTGGTAAGATAATGTTTTCAAATTAATGATTTTGATCATTGTTTAGTCTTCCCATGTTTAACATAACATAGAATTATGATTTGATTTGCACTTCCAAATTCTAAGAAACTGATTCTGAATTTAACTTCTAATCTCTTTGAACAATGTGAAATCATTGTGTAATATTTTAGACCAAGATAAACCTTCCGCTGCTGAGTCTAACAAAGTTCATATCTGATATCAAGTTAGCAAAATATGGGAAGGTTAGACACCTTTTAACCAGTTATAAATATGTGCATTATCATTCCCACGGATTGAAAAAGAAGATTGTTCTAACATCATTATGTTGTTTAACCACTACTTCCATCAATTAGTGGTTTGATGATTGCAGCGATGATGTCAGAGTATGCTGCTCCAAAACTTTGCACAAGCTTCAGGATCATTACAATTGGAAGGTACTGCAAAATATAAAAGTACTAATAAATGGTGACTAGATATTACCATGGTTGCTACTTTCCTTACTGGAACAAACTACAGATAATTTGATTGTTTGATGTGAAATTGAAAGAAGCAATCTTTTAAACATAGAAAATTCACAAAGCACAACTCCATCATTGAGAAACAGTACATCACTACCATTACTTGCTAATATGCTAACTTTGTTTTTTGAAACATAAGATTATAGATGTGACCATACCAGAGATAGAAGCAATGCGCCTGGCACATTATATAACAATCGGATCTGAGTCTTCCACATCGCTTGATTCTTTTAAAGAAAAGTATGATATCTTATAAAATCTTTGTTTTCCTCTTCATTGTCCTCTAGATTGAGGAGTATGGTTGCTGATATCACCTAATTACTACCAAAGGAATTTTGCAGAATTAGGATGGGATGTAAGGGTAGCACAAAATATCTATGGTGCTTTCAGCGGCTTGGAGTATCTTAAAGCTCAGAGAATTAGGTAAGATATGAATTGTAAGAATATTTATTTAACATTAGGATTTGATCTTCTCAAGGGTATGTTAAATTATTATTATTTTTTGGCTTAGTTAATTTTTTCAAACAAGTCTCCTGTAAATTATTATTTATTACTAAATGGTCATTTCTGTTTTTTTTAAATTTATATTTAATCCCTCAAAATATCTTAAATTTTGTATTTAATATCTCATTTTATCATAATCAAATAAGAAATTCATAATATTTATGAGAACTAAACAAGAGACTCGTAATATTTAAATGAACCAAATAATTTTTTTTATAATATTTAGAGAAACTAAATAAAAAATAAAAATCACAAAAAGTGCATTTCATTAAGAAAATTATATTATGAAAGGCCAACTTAGAATAAATAAATAAATAATCAGATGAAAAAATTACAAAATTTAGAAGAAATAAAAGCTTAATCAAGCCTTATCTCTTCCTCTAGTAGATTATTGTTAATGGCAGCTTGTTAAAAATATGAACAGGAATCGGCAATTCCAACTTCACAAGAAAATATTTGCTGAGGCAGATGTGATTGTCTCACCAACAACGGGGTTTGTCCTGTTTTTCTCAAACTTGACACTGTTGATGGGTAGCATTTTTGCACTTTAGTGTAACACATTTATGATATTTATAACAGTGTGACTGCATATCCAATTCAAGATGATGCCCTGAAGACTGGTGAACTTGACTACGTGAATGGAGGTATAGAATACAATATAGATTAAATTCATTTGGTTAATGACATTAAGCACTCTGCATGTTCTTATGTAGCTGTTTGTAGCAATAAAAATATAATTTGAGTCCATTTTCAGCTGCACTTGTTCGTTATTCCATAGCAGGAAACTTTCTGGGACTTCCAGCTGTCACTGTTCCCGTAAGATCCCATTCTCCTTTCCTTAATTAATGACATTATGCTCTCTGCATGTTTCATATGTAAGACTTTTACATTTTATTACTTTAACTATTTCAAATTGTAGTAAGTTTTCATTTAAAAATATACTATCTATTACATTTTTATATATTTATAGACAAATATTAGCAACATAAGTCCAATTTAAGTAAATTTCAAGAGAAGTACATGTACAAAAAAAAAAGCATAAAAACTTCTCTTTTCTATTTAGAATTTTTCTCATTTTACTTTTCTAATATTTGAGAAAATAAATTATTTCTATTTATGAAAGAAATTTTATGTATTTTTATACCATTTTTTTTTCTCTTATAGAAACTTCTCAAAAATTTAAAAAATGTGTTAGGGAGACATTTTTTAAAAATTTATATGCTATATATTTGTTTTGTTTTTAGTCATTTATTCTCTCTCTGTGTATTTCACACTTCACACTTTCACAGGTGGGATACGACAGATTGGGTTTGCCCATTGGGCTTCAGTTTGTTGGAAGGCCTTGGTCTGAAGCCACACTCATCCACTTAGCATTTGCAACTCAGGTCAAATTTCTTTCTCATAGATACTGCAGATTATTTTCCCTATTACCCAAAATAAATTTTTATCAGAAATATGCTGATAAATTTATAACTTGATAAAATTCAATTTTTAAGATTATTTTATCTCATTCTCACATATATTATGTTTGTGATAATAATGTTAGTTTGATTTTTGTGTTGAATAATTAGTATTAATTAATAACGTTTTCTCTTTGTAATATTTAGTAAGAGCCTATAAAAATTTGCAATATTATTAGATATTGCAAAGTTGTTAACTCTTCCATCCCTCTAAAAAAATTGGTATTGTTATGATATCAGGCTATATGCATGTCAGACTACAAAAAGCCAGAGCTTTACTATGATCTGCTGAGAAGATAAAAAGGAAGAATAGCATGTCATTTCAAGCTATATATTATTTTTACAAAACTTTATGCCTTTGGTGGAAGTTTCAGTTTGTGCTCTTCTATTCAATTCATTAGCTTCCATTTTCATTTTCCTTTTTACCCTACTTATAAATCAACTCTCATAATGCATGTTTAAAAATGTGCTAAAAAACCTTATAATTATAGATTCAATTCAAAAACTATAATTAATATTATTAAAATAATTATAGATTTATAATTATTAAACGTAAATTTAAGCATGCTCTAAATCGATACATTTGTATAATTCACATTGTAGAAGTCCTTAAATTAAATTGATCTCCACTGTACTCAACAGTTATCACACTTGCAGGGCAATCAGTCGGTTAGTTTGTTAATTTTATATACTTAAAAACTAGCTTAAACTTTGCAAATTTATCTTTGCTTAAACTTAATTTTATTGAAAAGTAAGCTTATAATAAGTAATTTATATTTCTAATTTTTATTAAAGGTAATTTTGTTAAAATAATGTTATCTACATTGATTGGTAATTATAAGGAAATATAAATATCATTCAAATGATAATATCTGTTTAAATTATACAAACATTTTATGAATATATTCGATAGAGTTTTTCTTTTCCACTCCAAATTTGTCTGTTTGATTGAGAAACAAAACTATGATTTTGACGCAGAATTAATTTTGCTATATAAATTCAAACATGTTAGCTGCTGGCATTACTTTTAAGTTGCATTTGCAGCCTCAAAAGTAATTCTATAATAAAACATGCTGACATTATAAAGTATTTTTCCAGTTATATAAAAATTTGCTATTCATTTAATCATTTTGCTACGCACGATAGTCTTATTTTTTATCAAGCTCAGCCTTTAAAATAAAGTTTAAACATCTAAAATTAATAATTTTTATTAATAAATATAGTATTTATCATAACTTTTTATTCTTAAGATGATAAATATTTTTTTTTCTATTTTTAACTATTTATCCTCAACTCTAAGAAATGTGGTTAATATTTTAAAATAATAATAATAATAATGATACTGAATCTTAGTTAACTCACGACACTTAAATTTTCTTCTCTTGTAAAAAAATCAGAAAAAGATTCTCTCCTATTACATAAGGGTCATGTTCTGAGTTTTTTAATTTTCGCTTAAGCAAAAATATAAAAATACAGCAATATAACCCTCATGTTCGCACTTGAAAATAAAGAAATCTTGATCCAAAAAAAGTCCTAAAGATAAAAATTCATTAGCAATGGTTCCTTTTTCCATAGAATGGTTATGGTCTAATTGTTGAATGAACTAAGAAGCTCAAGTAAACAACAATAGCTAAATATTGTGTAAAACTCATTTTAACCATTTTATTTACTTAACATGGGAATTTACATATTAACAATTGGTATTGCTTTTATTTATTTTTTATGATTTTATTTTGTTAATGTAATAAATATTTTTTCTAGCAAAAGCTTGTCACTTGTAGTTTCTTAAAATCAAATCTAAATCTTCACATTTTTTATTAATATTTTCACAAGTTTGAGAAATTGAAACCGTCTCCTCATTTAAGCGTGAAGATACACAAACATTATTACATGGATGAACACAGCCCACTGTAATTCTAATTGAAATGTGTGAGAAATTTTGATTCTGCAAGAGGTGCTATTTATATGCAAACAAGTAAGTTCGAATTTATACATGAATAATTATAAACCATATATACGACTTTATTTTTTTCTTCATCTCATTTTTCAATGACTAGCTGTTCTGCTTACACTCTTGCTTCTAGGGTGGAACCTACCAAAAGTACTAAGGTTTTTTGCATAGGTAATAGATGGGTTTAGTGAACCTGAAGATTCAGAATCCCTTTTGGAGAAACTCAAATCAAAATTATGTAACTTCAACTGTTCACCACCGTTTTGGGATGCTGATGTAGCTTCACAAGTTAACTCCATAGGGTTGACCTCTGAATCAAGTAAGTCTTCCAATGTTGCAAGGGACTTTAACTGCAATCCAAGAGATTCAATGGTTTTCCGGCACTCAGCAAATCTAGTAGCAGCCAATACTAGTTCCTTCTCCTGCATTAAAAAATATGCCAAACTCTTTATATGAAAAGACTAATAAGTATAATAAGATGGTTAATGCTAAACATTTGACAGCCATGCTCACTTGTTCTTAGTTATTTAGTTAGTCATAACATGTTAATATTTCAACTAGAACTTAGCTTTCAGCATCATGCACTTGACAACCCTATTCATCATAGAAAAGGAGAGAGATTGTTTTAGACAATGTAGAATCAAAAACCTTTTTGGAACAACTTTGGAGGATAACTTGTTTGGGATATGTGTATGCGAAAAGAAAAAAAAAGTAAGTGAGAAATAAAAATAATTATATACAGCATCACATATAGTATCAATTTTCAATTGAAATCAACAAATTAAAAACTTGCAACCACCCCAAACAGGTCCTTAAATAATGGAGTTTCTACTGTATGTTACCAAACTGACCTGCTTTAACTCGCTATTAACACCTGCCTCATGTTGTATCTCAGTCTCTTGATGGAGTTGAGCTTCGTGCTTCATTCTCGAAAGTTCATCCTCCAACTTCTCACACTTGGCCAAATTCTCAGCAGACAAAGCTTTCTCTTTCTCAATCTCTTCCTCTAGTGAACAAATCTTTGAAACCAATTCTTCTGCTTCAGTTTGAGCAACTCTGAGTTTAGACTCAGCTATCTCATTCTTGTCTTGGGTTGCTTTTAGTTCTTCATATGCTTCTTCATTCGATTTGTTTGTAAGAGCTAATCGAGTTTGAAGCTCTACTACCTCCAACTCTACTTCCTTTATCCTACTTTGTGACGCCTCAAGCTGCTTTTGGCACTCAATTAGATCCATCTCTAAATCAAGTTTATCTGCCTCCATTTTCTCTAGCTTCTTTTCCAATGCAGCATTCTTTTGAACCATAGTTTCCACTTCAGCATTCACTATGCCATGGCCAACATTAAGTTGGTCAAATGTAGTAGCTACCACTGGAAAACTGCTTACACTTTCTGTATCTGGCAATGCAGCAAGCCTTTCCATTTCAAGGAAATCATCCATCAGATTGATCTCAGTTGACAAGACCATAAGATTTTTTTCTTTAGTGTTTTGATTCGTAAATTGATCAATTTCTGTAGTTGAAGTTGATGGCCACGAGTCACAATGGCTTGGCTCACCTTCATTCATATCCCATCCTCCTAATTTGTGCATATCACTTTCAACTACAATTTGCCCCTCTCCACTGTCTGACATGCTATCAGTGAAAGACTCTACATAAACTGAAGAGGCAGTCATAGACTTGTGATCATTAGCAGAGAGTGTTTTGCGAGCGACGGCTTTCAGTTTACGGCATTCAGCTTCAAGCTTAGCCACCTTCTTTATACTCTCCAAATGTTGCTTGCTTGCTGCTTCAGCAGCTTGAGTACTCAAATCCCTCTCTATGGTCCTGAACTCAAGTTCCTCGAGTCGAGATTGCAGCTCAATTTTAAGGCTTGAATTCTCTTTCTCCACATCTTCAAGCTTCTGGTGAAGATCAGAATGAACTGATGTAGCAGCATCTGGTTTAGCTCTTTGAAGTTGAGTCTTGAGCTCAACACCTTTGCTTTCAAGGTTGGATCTGTTGGATTCCAAGCTATGAGCGTTATTTGCAACAGTTTCATGGATCTTTAGCTCTTGTTCTTCTTTAGCATGTCTAAGCTGCTTCATACACTCGTTGAGTGCCCCATCAAGATGACTGACTTGGTATTCAAGAACTGAATTTTTCTGTTTGGCAGCATCGAGTTGTTGTTTTAAACTCGACACTTCACTTTCAGCCTTCTCCCAGCCTAAGTAAAATCAAAGTCAATATAGAAGTCTTATAGTTCATTGATTAATATAAGTTTTTCAGCTTCAAAAAAGAAAAATAAAGCAGATATGTTTCAAAGAATTTGGATGTAACTTCCCAATAATCCCCTTAGAGTAGAAGTTTATGATATAGTATGAGGCTTCCCTAGGCAGAAGAAATTAATCATGGACAATCAGATAAAGCAGAGTTTAGTATAACCCCTGTATTGTGTTTGGATAATTTTTTATATTCGTTTTTCATAAACCATAACAATGTCAGCACTTGAACAAATACAATCAATCAGGTCAAAAAACACAAAGTCAATTGCAACTGCTCCATGCCTCAATGGATTTCTCACTTAGATAAACTTGTCTGCCAAATCAAGGAGATTATTGATATGCAAGGTGACCAAGCAACAAATACCTGATACAGCTTCTTCAGCAACTTTAGCATGCTGCTTTACCAAGTCTTCTTTGGCACTAATGTTTAAGAGAGCAGCAGATAATTTTTCTCTTAGGGTCCTCGCGTCAGTAACTTCTTCATCATTTGGTGCAGCCTCACACATGACTTCTGGAGATGAAGTAGCTTGGGTGGAATAAACCTTCACAGCATGGCGAAAACATCAGATTCATCAAATCTCCCCCCCTCCCCTCCCCAAACTTGAGTAATTTGAACAATCAGAGATCTTAAACTAAAGGGAGGAGAGAATCAATGGTTTATAAGCTTTCGAAGAGTAGTAGTAGAAACTACGAAGTATCTCAAGAAACTGACTAGTAGAAATGGAAATATTATTCCACTCTCTTGTATTCTTGACTCAACAGGTTTTCTCTATTTCCCCTCCCCCTCAAGGTAGCTTGGACGAGGCCACATTTGTTCAGAATTCCTCAATTTTGTTTTCATTTGAGTAAATAAGTGTTGAGGCCAAAGCATTTTAACTTCCATATCTTCTTTATCCCTTTCAATAAAGAATAAAACTATCACTTCCAAAAATGGCTTCTAATTCACAACATCACAAACACAAAAAGCTATCCAGGTCCAGTATATTATCCCCCCACCAAAACCTTTGGTTCAGTTATGCAAAACAAAATTAACAATGTATGTAGCTAAAAAGGTGGTACCTGATCATCAAAGAATCTTTCTGAATGAGATGACATTGATCCAAAACTCTCAGTTTCACCTGGACTTTTCTCAGATGACTTTCTTCGCCATAGCCAACTCCTACGGTCCATACACAATATAGGCAAAGAAGCAACTCCTTATTCCCTCACAGAACACCATGAGCCACACAACACAACCAACCCTTTGTGCAGAAACACCACTCCCAAGACCCTTTCAAAGCTGAGAACTGGATCTGGGGCTATCAAGAGCTCATTGGAGTGAATAAGAGGAAGCAAGGAGAGATGGGAAATTGTTGTTTAAGCAAAACCCAGAACTTAAAAAAGAATAAGAGAGCAAGGTGTTTAACCAAAGGAAGTAACTTGAAAAGAAAAACAAAAACTTTGCTTAGAATTCACTTTCCAATCCCATCTACCTCGATTTTAACATTTATACAGCGAAAGGGATCACTGGTCAGACCTCGCTCAATTCCAAAAAGATATACACAATTACAAAATAAATAAACAAAAATGTTTAAACTTTAGAGGGTATCTATTAGACTGTTACTGTTACTATTATTCTATTCCTATTTCCTTTTCACACAAAACTTTGTCACAGGTACAAGCATTAAGCACCCACCTACCATGAATCCCCAACTTCACGCCATGGGTAGTGAATAAAGAAAGGATATTTACTGTATCAATTCAAATTCTGAATCCAAAGAGTGATGAAGAGGAGGGAATTAACTTAAGGAATGAAGATAAGAGAGAGGAATGTCAGAGATAGAAGGGACATAATTATTGAACAAGTTTGTTTGTGAAGGAAAGAGATATTGGAAAATGGGAGGGACCATGCAGTGACAGACATATGAAAAGGATAAGGGTGTGTGATCGTGAAGTGTAGATTAAGGTGGTCTCAAACAAAACACAGAGAGAAGGTCCAGTGTTAGTTTTATCTCAAGTTCTTCATATACACAGGTAAGGTATTCGGGGTTTTATTCAAACAAACACTGCCTTGTTCCCGCTTATTGTTATTGGTTTGGTCTTGAAATCCACTACAACCGTTAAAATTGTTGTACTCATTCCTTTCTTTTGTTTTTGTCTTGTTTTTCACTTTTATTATGCTATTACTGCACTGTGTCCTTTTTTGCAATGCAAATTGCGAGTACCATATGACACAATATGTGACTGTCTCTTCTCTTTGGGTTCCATGTTGTGTTGTGGCGGCCTTCATTCCCACCACACCAATGTCCCTTTGATTCCTCCCAATCTTTTGACAATCATTGCAATGATTGGTGTTTTATTTGACTTCAATTTGTTTATGGTGCTCTTTTTTCCTTCTAAGCTTTTGATAATCGTTACTATGTAATTTTTATTTTTAATTATTTAATGAATGATAATAACCCCTTTTTTTATTTATTTAGAGATAAAGAAGAGTTTTGATACTACCGACAACATACCCCCCACGCAGCTACTAATAAATGCATAGAAGACTAAGTCACGCTCCAAAGGAAGTTACTCTTTAAATGCTGTTTGGATTAGCTCATACTTAATATCATAGTTGCTCTATTTCTTCACTTCATACAAAACCTTTTTATGTTAATTTATATAAAAGTACAAAATGACAAATATATATATATATATATATATTAAAAGTTATGAATTATTATGTTTTTTTACATATTTTTGTATTAATTGTTGTAAGAATATTATTTCTCAAATTTTTATAAAACAAGATAAAATTAAAATAATGTGAACAGCTGATTTTTGTGTAAGGCATAGATTGCTTCAACTTGGTCTTCAAAGTGGGTGAGAGATGGGCATTTACAGAAGGTATTGCTGACATTACATATATTTATAAGATCATCCCTCTTAACGAAAATATTAAAGAAAAATAAATAAAATATCTTAATAAAAATTATTTATTAAGTTAATATATATTTGATCTGTATAGTTTGTACTTATTTATGAATAAATTTTTATATAAAAATTATATATTTTAATTCATATATCATAACTCATATATAACTTCTGTATTAAGTTGAAAAGTTTACATTAACTTTTATTAAATTTTTTTACGTGCAATCTATCAAAAGCTTGTTTTATCTTTAGATAAAAAGAAAATGTTAGAGAAAAATAAAATTGATTAAAATAAAAATTTATCTAGTAATTATTATAATAAAAGGATATAAAAATTATTTATATTATATATATTTTTACATTAAAATGGTTAAAGAAAATATTGTTTTTCTTTATTTTTTATTTTTCTCTGCGTCCAAATAAAACTTAAAAAATTAAAATTGCAATCACGTCGAGAAAGTCAATTGAGTGTAGTTATATATAAAGTTTGTTTGTTTAAGACTATTTAAATTATTCTCCTGTTACACGTGCCATCTCGCATGTTCTACTAATTTATTAGAAACCTACATTTTGTTGCCAAATATGGTGAATTCGATAATTGAGCGAATAGGTTGAGCTGTTATATTAATATTTTTTATTGATATTAATATCTTATTTAATTATGAATTAATATTAATCAATTATTTAAAATATATATTTTAAATTATTAGTATTAACTATGATATTATAATAAATATATTATTATTATTATTATTATACTTTAATAAAAATATTTTATAATAGATTAAATTGTTCAACCTTATAATGCCTCACAGGTTAATGAGTTAGATAAATGTTTCCCTCATTAAATAGATAAGAATAGTTTAATCATGTATCAATGGTCATTTTTCAGTAAAGAAAAATGTTACATTAGAATAATTTTTTATTCTTTTTAAATACTTGATTTTTTTTATTTCTTTTTCAGAAAAAGTATAAGAATAAATATAAATAACAAAAAAATATTAAACATGATTTTGAAAGAGATGGTGGAAGCAATAGTTCATTTTTACCACCGTACTTGGAAATGGAACCCTAAAATGGTTCTTTGACTTAGAGAGAGAGCATTTATCAGTTCTCTCCCACAGATATTTCTACAGCAAAAGAAAAAACAAAAGACTTTAATAATTTGGTGAAATATACATATATTTAACTTCATTTCTTGATAAATTAAAAAAATTACTATAATCTATATTTTTAAATTATGAAGTTAATATTTCAAATCGTAATATATTCTAAACAACTGAAATAAAAGCCTTTAAAAGATGCATTTTATTATTATTATGAAATTTTTCAATAAACTATGGTATGTAAAACATGTAAACCTCAAAATTGTTTATGACTAGATTAATGTTAATAAATCAATGATTTTTAAAACTGATTGAGGGTTTTTGTTAGGTACCATATTTATACCAATATATCAAAGTTTTATTGAATTTTATCATGTATTTTGTGAGAACAAAAAGTTTTTCATTAGCAAATCAAAAAAAGCCCATCATAAATGTTACTAACCTTCAATCTAAAAATTCTCACAATTGAGGTAATATTTTTCAAAATTGTTTTGAAGCTTTTCTTTGATAATATTAGATGAACAACGCACTCAAAAATCACTTTATTTTTTGTGAGTTTGATACAGGTCACTCATGAATATGTTTTTTTTTATCATAGACCAGTTAACTTACAATTTCTCTTCACACAGTGCATCAATTAGTAAAAAAATTTTTAGGGCTTTTGCTCGTTTTTCAATTACAAACAAGATGAAACACATCTCATTCTATAGTTTCTCCAATTGGAAAAATTTTAGAGTTTAAGTATTTTATGTACATACTTAATCAAGTTAACAAATATGTATTAAAAACTCCTTACGAGCTTATGATCGGAAAGAAACCAAGTTTAGAGCACTTTTATATGTGAGATTATAAGGCATAAATGAAATCTTATAATTGTTAAACAAAGAAGTTTGATCCAAAAACAATTAGTGATTTTTTTAATGGCTATTGCATTGCCTCTTGGGGCAGTAGATTTTATTGAACTTCACACTTTACTCGAATCATCAAATCTAACCATGCTATGTACTTCAGATGAGAGTTACATCAAATTGATGTAAAGAACACATTTTTACATGGAGAATTAGAAGAAGAAATATATATGGAGATACCATCTAGATACTATTTTAAAGGAGACAATGTGTGCATATTAAGGAAGGTGTTGTATGGGCTCAAACAATCTCTCTGTGCCTAGTTTAGAAGGTTCTTTCAAGCCATGGTTTCTACAGGGTATATGCAAAGTCAAGGGGATCATACTTTCTTCATAAAACATTCACAGGAAGATAAACTAACACTATTTTTAGGTTATGTAGGTGATATGATTATTAGTTATAATGATGATGATAAAAAAATATCTTTAAAAAAATTTGGCAGTTCAATTTGAGTTAATAAATATCAGAAGACTCAAATACTTCCTAGAGATTGAAGTTACCGGCATCTTCATGTCTCAAAGGAAATATGTTGTTGATCTCCTACAAGAAACAGGCAAGTCAAGGTACAAAATTATTGGAATTCCCATTAAAAATAACCACTGTATTGGAAGTGAAGAAGAGAGTTGTTGACTCCCTATCCAGGTCCTTCCTCATGGCTTGGTCTCAACTGAAATGCTGACTATCCCTACTCTTAAGGAGGCAATTCAGCATGATGAGAAGCTAAAATCAGTATTGGACATATGCTCAGGCAGCAAACCTCCTCATCCTTATTTCTTTGTTCATGATAATTTACTTTATTGGAAAGGAAGACTGGTCAGGACATGTTCTGGTGCAACGAATTCTATACGAATTCCACAGTTCCTTAACGGGGGGACATGCTAGTTTCACTCGATCCTTAGCCAGAATTGATGCACAATTCTACTGGCATGATATGCATAAAGACATTAAAGAGTTTGTCCATATATACTAGCTTGGTCTACCAACAAGGCAAGTGATGTGAGGAACTAACTTATACTCTTATTGTTCCTATTCCAAAGCTTGATAACCTAATAATTTGAAGGATTTTAAAGCTATTAGCCTATGCAATGTGTTGTTGAAGACTATTTCTAAAGTTCGGATGCACAAGATTAAGCCTTATCTGAATGATTTGATTGATCCTTTATCTTGGAATAATGAGATATTGGAAAGATTTTATCCTACTAGGGGTATACGACAAGAAGTTCCTAGAGGTCCATGACCAGTGGAATAACGAAGAAACTTGCTTTTATGACTCAGGAACAAGTACAAATAGGGAAATGGAAGCCTATCAGGGTTGCTAGAGGTGGACCAGTAATTTCTCATCTATTTTTTATGACGATTGTCTTCTTTTCACTAAAATGGAGTCTTTTTATGTTTGATTAGTTGAAAAAGTCTTATCAAATTTTTGCAAAGCTTCTGGCCTTAAAGTTAATGTTTAGAACTCTTGCTTTATTCTAAAAGTATACCAAAGAGGAATGGACGGTGGCACTGGAATCTTTTGGCAACTCCAGCAAGAGCTGAAGTTAATGATTTAATTGAGAGCATTGTCATAGATGAGAATATTGGTGATATGGTTATTTGGGATGCATCTACATTTTTCATTGTCTTCTAATTTTTCTTGTTTCAAGTGTGGAGCAACGCAAGAAACAATTAATCACTTATTGCAGGAATGCTACAAATCTTATCAGGTTTGAAATCTTCTAAACTTGGAACATCTTCTCAGCAATAATACTCAGGATATTTCAGATTGGATCAGATACAACTGCAAAGGAAGACATGGAATCATTTTTGCTGTGGCTTGCTATTATATTTGGAAAGCAAGAAATATGGAGATTTTCCAAAACGTTCTTTGTAGTTATCATCATTTAACAGTCTCACAAATTTATGAACTTCATGCAATTTGTAAAGGAATTACTTTGCTCACAGTAAAGGATTCACCTGTATTATTTGTGAATCAGATTTAGCTTCAGCTTTGGATTTGATTACGAAAGCCTACGATGACACTCATCCACTAGCGACTTTGGTGCTTCAAAATCACATAAAATCCAAATTACACAAATCAAATATACAGTTAAGCCAATAAATAATTCATACTTACGCTTTTGAAGTCTTTTTAATAATGAAATATTTTTATTAAAATTTATCTAAAATATATTGATAATATAAAATTTTTATATTTCCATTTAATAATCAATTATCACACAATCTAAAATTGTTATTTATTATAATTTTAAATTATTTAATAGTGTAAAAAACATAAAATAATATATCAAAATTAAATTTTTTATTTTATATTATACTTATTTTTAGAAAAATGAGTACACTAGTAAAATAAAATAAAAATCCAATTAAACTTTGGACATCACGACGAATCAGTTGAGTAAATTTTTAAAGTTACAATTAATTTTGTAAAAGTATTTTTAAAATATCTTTATTTATATAATTTTTTTAATCAATACAATAACTTAAAAGATCTTTGTGATCATTGTTGAATGAAGTAATATATAAATAAATATATATATATATATATATATATATATATCATTTGAAGTCAATTCAATTAGTTAAGTTTCTAGAATTTGAAGCATTCTATAATATATTTTGTTTATATTTTATTTTATTATCTCTTTTTATTAAATTATATTCAGAGTTTTTTTTCCCCTTAAATTAAGTACTTTTAAAGAGGACTAATTTTGTAAAAGTATAAGATGCCCTTCTTTATCTGTTTATTAAAGTATATTACAATTTTTTTCAGTAGTAAGTAATTTATGATCTTAATATAAAAGTTTATGAGATTTGTTCCACCTCTTTAATAATATGTGAAATGTTTTCTCACATTTAATTTGAATCATTCTGACTGAAAGTGCATGAAAATATGTTTTTATGCCCCTTCCTTCAAGGCAAAGGAAACCCTTCTCTCAAACGCCTCTGGCTTATTCCAAAGAGCATGTAATAGATTTTACTTTTATGATGTAGGTTTTGTTATTATATATATATATATATATATATATATATATATATATATATAATTTTAAAAAAAATTATACTCAATTTAATCTTTCATTTAATTTATATTTAATAAATCATATACAAAAATCTTAATGTTAATATTCAAAAATTTACATACATTTATATAATATATATATTTGCTAAGAGAATAATGATAATATTTTCGTATATTTGATTAAATTAAATTGATTAAAATAAATGGGATTCAGCGTTATTTGTCTAAAAATTGAAAACAATGTGAACCTTTCAGTATGGGGAAAAAACAAAACAAAACAAATAAAAAATTATCTTAATTCTGTGCTGATGGAAGAGAGAGAGAGTGTGTGTCGTGATTTGACATGCAGAGGAGAGAGATAGGGAGATAGAGAAACAGAGGTTCATTCATTGTTCATAGAAATTTGGCACATTCAGATGACAAATTAAGCGCCAAATCTGAATCACACACACATACACATCACACAATGAGCACACAAGTTTCTTCCAAGAAGAACAAACGCCCTCCGAAGAAACACCACTCCTCCCAAAATGGAACCGCGCAACCACCGTATCTTTCCATGCACACGCCAATTTTCATTATTGTTCAATTGGAGCTTTTCAATTTTTCGTTCATACGTTTTTGTTTTTATTTTTTATTTTTTGTGATATTGTTAGGGATGATGGAGGAGAAAGGACGGTGAAGAAGCTTCGGTTGTCGAAGGCACTCACCATCCCAGACGGCACCACCGTTTCGGAAGCATGTCGTCGAATGGCCGCTCGCCGCATCGACGCCGTTTTGTTAACTGATTCCAACGCTTTGCTTTCTGGAATTATCACCGACAAGGTTTCTTCGTGTCTTTTCTTCTTCTTATTATTATTATTATTTCGTATGAAATGTTTCGTGTCATTTAAGGTTGTGTATTTCGTGGATAGGATGTTGCTACTAGAGTTGTCGCCGAGGGGTTGCGGCCGGAGGAGACGACGGTGTCCAAAGTGATGACCCGGAATCCAATCTTCGTTACATCTGATACACTCGCCATTGAAGCGCTTCAGAAGATGGTCCAGGGTTCGCTTTCTTTTTTCTTTTCCTCCTTCATAATTTGTGCTTATTGTTGCACATTTGGTTCCTCAAACTAGGATAACTTGTGGATTTTAGTGTACTTATCCAGTTTATTTCTTAATTACAAATTATTCAATAAACAAAAAAATTATTCAAAATTGTAGGACTTAATATTATACTTTTTTTTTGTAATATTTAATGATTTTTAATAAAAAAAATTAAGATATATAAGTTTTATTATACAACTTTAGACACATGTTAAAAAAACCAAATAAATAAACCTTTGTTGTTATGTATATTTGTGTATATATGTATACTTGAAGAGAAAAAATGTTGTTAGTTATTTGTTTACTTATTAAGTCTAAGTTAATATTAGTTATATTTTTCTAAATTATATCTTTAGGCTAATTCTTTAAGTAGTAATGAAAGTTCATTGTTGAAGAGAGATTATGTAAAATAGACAAAAGATATAGTAGGAAGTTTGAAAATAATTTTTATGAAAATAAGAACATTTATTATATTTCTTAATCATAGAGGACAATTAAATAAGAATGTATTAAATAATGTCAAAACATTATTGAGGAATTAAAAATATATTTTTTTCTTTTAAAGCAGTATGAGTTATACGGTGAATGAAAAATAAAAAAAGCTTTTAGGTAAACTTTTAAAGTTCTTACAAAAAAAATATAAATAAATAAATAAAACTCTTCTCATATGATAGAAATAATTTATTTTTTAAATTTCAAAGAAGTTAAATGAAAAAACATCTTAAAAATAAAGAAGCATAACTTATTTCTAACTTATGATAAAATTTTATTTATTTTTACACTAATTTTTAAAAAATAATTTTGTAAAAGTTTACTCAAACTGAGTCATAACTTAAGAATGAGCATAGTATTAAATAATGTTAAGACATCATTGAGGAATTAAAAATATTTTTCTTTCTTTCTTTTAAAGCATTATGATTTATATGGTGAATCAAAAATAAAAAGAGCTTGTAACTTTTGAAAATTAGTTCATGAAAAGTTACTTTAAGTAGCATTTAACTTATTATAAGTCTAGTTGAGGTAAACGCTTAGAGAAATTTTTATAGAAAAAAAATAAAAAATAATAAAAACTCCTCTCATATGATAAAAATAGTTTATTTTCTCAAATTTCAAAGAAGGTAAATGAAAGAACTTCTCAAAAAATAAAGCATAACTTATTTCTAACTTATGATAAAATTCTTATTTATTTTTTATACTGATTTTTTTTATAAGAAATACTTTGGTAAAAGTTTACTCAAACTGAGTCATAATCTATTTATCAATATTTTCTTCCATTTTTATCCTTAACCTTGTAAACTATTTACATTCACATTCACATAAAATAATCCTAACCCCTCTTTTTAGTCATCTAACAAATTTTAGCTAATTGTTGAACTAATTTTACCAACTAGTCTTTATTCAATCAGCTAGGCATAAACTTTGTGGCTCTTCACTTTTTCTTCTTCTTTTCCTAGTTGATTATGTTAGAATTGAATAAATGATTTAATTATATATTCTTTATGTTTATGTCTTGTTTAATGGAGTCAAAGTCTGGAAAGTAATTCATGAAGTGACATATAATTTGATTCTTTTAACTTAAAGGTAAATTTAGACACCTCCCTGTTGTGGAAAATGGGGAAGTCATTGCCATGTTGGATATCACCAAATGTCTTTACGATGCCATATCTAGAATGGAGAAGGCTGCTCAGCAGGGAAGTGCTGTTGCAGCAGCAGTTGAGGGAGTGGAACTCCAGCAAGCTAGTAATGTATCTGGTTGGTTAACAGTTATCTTTATTCATATATTATTTGATAATTAGTGCTGCTTCCTACTTGTACATGAAATTATGAACTGTTTCTACTTGCATGCAGTATGTCTGTTCAACATTTATAACATATGCAGCATGGTCAAGTTCATAAGTTTTTTTTTTTTTTTTTCAAATTTGGAATCCATCCTTTTGGCTTACTCAGAAGCTGATTTGGCAGTTTTTACGAACAACGTTTAAAGCAATGTTATCTTTGGGGCAGAAAATAATACACAAAGGCTGGTGGTATAAAAAAAGTTGGGAAATTATCAAACAATTGTTTTGCTTGCTGTTTCTTTCATTTTTCCTTTTATGATGTTATATTATTCTTCTTCATCCCCCTCCCAACTCTACTCTCCTTTTCTTACAAAAAAAATATATATTTAATTTTCAAAATGTTCAAAGAGTGGTCAATGTGAATCATCTGATAATTAATCACTTGTGTGGTTAATTGTTACTAAACTAAAAATATAATGTATTTTTCAACAAAATCTATTTTTCAGAGGAATTCCTCTATTGTAAATAAAAATTTTCAAATAATTTTATGAACCAAGTCTTGGTGTTGTTTGGTTATGTATATGTACTCTAATGACATATTTAGAGGTTAATTTGTAAGATCTCCTATGTGAACCAGATGCTGTCAAGAGAAAGACATTCTGCTGCCTGAATATCTGACTTCTCATAGTAATATTTGAAAGTGCAGAAACTTGCCGTATTTTTCCTTCATATTGTAATGATTCTAAATTGCTAATTTTGTGTTTCAATTGTTAGTATTTTTGTCAGCTCCAAATACTTTCATTGAAACATTGAGGGAGCGCATGTTCAAACCTTCACTTTCAACTATAGTCGGTGAAAAAACAAAGTAATTTCACATGATATTTTCTTGTGTTTTTACGCATTGCCCAAGGACTCTCTTATAATCAGATATAATAGTTTTACAACATTCTGTAGCTTTATATGTTTCTAGGGCTGCTATTTCATCAATATCAGATCCTGTCTACGTAGCTGCAAAAAGGATGCGGGAGTTGCAAGTAAATTCAGCTGTGATTGTGATGGAAAACAAGATTCATGGGATACTTACGTAAAATCCTTTCCTGAGTCTTTATATTCTTCCTTTAGAAATCTATGATAGTAAATAACATACATGTTTACATAAGCAATCTCCTTGAATGATATATACAAAATGGATGTTGGTCAATTTTTATTTTTGCATAATATATTGTTCTGTAAATCTCTTATGCAGTTCAAAAGACATCCTTATGCGTGTCGTGGCTCAAAATCTTTCCCCAGAGTCAGTTTTAGTGGAAAAGGTTGTTATGGTTTTATTTTCTGAATTAATTACTCTGGAAAGTGGTTTATTCTGAGATATATTTTTTGTCTGTCTGATGCCCGTTTATGCTAGGTGATTAAAATTGATTTGGCTTTATTCTTGATTCTTTCCCTTATTACTTATTTTTTGTTAGGTAATGACTCCAAACCCAGAATGTGCATCTCTAGAGACAACAATTCTTGAAGCACTGCATTTGATGCATGATGGGAAGTTCTTACATCTTCCTGTGGTGGACAGAGGTTAGTTTTGCTTTCTCAATTGCACATGTAATTTCTTACATTGTTGTGCTCAATATTATTTGTTTTTCAGATGGAAATGTTGCTGCTTGTGTGGATGTTTTGGAGATAACTCATGCTGCAATTTCTCTGGTAAATTTCTGGTTTGAGATACATATAAATACATATTAGAGGAAGCACTTTTATTAGATACTTTTAAGAAAATGCTATGGGATTAATTGAGCACTAGTTTCTGTTCTCATCCATTTTAACTTTCAAGAGTTTTTCTCACCTCTTTCAATTGCATTGAACAATATCTTATATATCTTTCCCTAGCTGCAGCGGGTATTTTAGAATATATTAGATTCTACTCTAACTTGAATTTTAATTTCTGTTTTTCATAAATGGTTAATTTCTACATCTACATCTACATCCATTGTTAACTATGTTGTTTTGGTGCACATCCAACTTGATCAAAGGAAAAAGTGTTGTAAAGTAATTGTGCCTTTTTACTTAATGATATCGAAGTATTGATAGTTTCCGTCTATGTTTGAAGGATTGCTGCATTTGGTCATGATTTTTTATCTCACCAAAGTATCAAAACTTTTTGCCTTGGATAGTCTTGTAGATCCAGTAAATCAGACTATCACTTTCCCTTCCCCTTTCCAACTTCATCATGGTAGTGATTTTTATAACTGTTGGGCGCCCATTCACACTACATAAAGATGAAGTATTTTGCTTAATCTTGAATGTTAAGAACATTTGGTGCTATTATACAGATGCTAGTGTCTTGTTTCTAAGTTGTGTACTTTGTAGGTTGAAAGTAGCTCTGGAACTGTTAATGACCCAACAAACACTGTTATGCAAAAATTTTGGGACTCAGCTTTTTCTCTAGAGCCACCGGAAGATTGTGATACTCATAGGTATCTTGGTGATACCAATGTTGTTTCTCAATATACGTTGTTTTTTCTGTAAAGTAAATAAACATACATGTCTGATTGCAGTGAAGTCTCTGGACTACTTACTTTTGACGGGGCAGATACCACAAAGTCTACATATCAATCTGTAGGTTTTGGAAATTCATTTGTTTATAAATTTGAAGATCAAAACGGTCGTGTGCATCGATTCTTCTCTGGTGAGTGACATAAAAGTCTACATACTTTTCCTCTCGCCCCTAACATCTTATGCTTAAACATGGGTCATGTAGTTTCACCTTAGAACTTACACAAGTATTTGCTACTACCTTTTTTGTAGGTGCTGAACATCAAGATGATCTTGTATCTACTGTCATGCAAAAAATTGGTCATGTTAATGATGGAGAACGCCCTACACTGCTGGTGTGTTTTATTCTATTTTAGTTTTGTCTAACTTTTTGTCGTACTTTATGTTTATATTATGATGTTGGATTTTTCTTCCATTCTTCTAGTACGAGGACGATGATGGTGATAAAATTATTATTGCAACTGATAATGATCTTGCTGCTGCTGTCAGCTATGCTAGGTCTGCAGGACTGAAGGTGAACTTGTCTGCTTTTATTAGTCTTAGTGTGTGTTAGGAAACTACCAAAAATCACATTAAACTACGTTTAACATGAAAACCATAACTACGTTTGACTAGATTTAACACCAATCCACATACACACACACACTTAATGCCACTGCCTTCCATGGTTTTGTTCTTATGGCTATGATGCATGCATTGAAGCAACATCTTTGTATTTCAGGCTTTGAAGTTGGATTTGGAGTTTGCCAATTCATCCAAACCAACAAAACCACAATCTGATACAGCCAATGTACAGCAAACGAGTATATTCTCTCGCCGTTCTGGTATTTTTGCAGGTGCTGTTGTTCTAACGAGCATTGGCATAATGGTCTACTTAAAGCGCTCTAAATAGTGATATCATGATATGTTTGCTAGTTTGCAAACAAAATATGTTATAATCTTACTGTATAAATTCCAGATTTTGTCAAAGTAAATCAAATACTGTTGGCAAAGGAAATGATGGACATGATATAGGTGAATGATTTGGAGGTTCTCTAATTGCCTTTTTTTGGTCACTGATGTAATTACAACCAGTAATCTCTTGTGCTTACTAGCGAGCATATGCAAAGATATACTCATGGCATAGTACACTGAAATGTCACCATATTCGTCTCTATTACTTATGGTTATGGTACTTGCAATTCCTTAAATTTATCAACTTTCATCGCCTACAACTTTTGTGGTTATAAGGTGATGTTCTATTTTCAGTTGTAGATCACCTTGGCTGATTTGATTCCCGAATCGTTTTCCTTAAATTTATAAATAAATGACCATATGATTTTTTTAAAATATAACAAATTCTTGATCTTTTAAATTTATTTTTTATTTAATTTAATCCTTAAATTTTTTTATTGTTTAAATTTTTTACATTTTACAATGTCAAATGATAGTCAATGTCTTTTAATAAAAAAATAATCTATTGTAGAAATGAATCCTCTATGGTGTGAAAAGAATTGCAGTTATAATTTTTACTTAAATAAATCTAAATTTATTTAAACAAAAATGAAACTATTTATCTCCTCTTTCTCATCTTCTCTCTCTTTGTCCCCTTCACTCTCATCCAAACCCCATCCCCCCCTTTACCCAACCACTCCTTTTCCTCTTCCCTCACCCAATCTCCACTTAACCTCTTACTCTTTTTCTTCTTACTTCTATTTAGTTTTTCTCCCCCTCTCCTTTCCTTCGTGCTCTCTTTACCACCTTCTCTCCCTCCCTTATTTTTGTTTTCTCTCACTTTTCTCCTTTACTTAAGTGAAATTATTTATTTTGTTTAAATAAATTTTATTAATTTAAGTAAAAATTACTTTTTTGTATATTTCGCATAAGCAAATCAAAATTTATTTAAGCGAAAATAAATTATAGATTATAGTTTTTGTTCAAATTGAAGATGATATTGTTATTTTTTTATATTTTAAAATAATATCTTTTATTAGTTTATTTTTATTCCGTGTTTAACTTTATTAATAACTTTGTCATCACTTGATTTGACAATTGATAATGGGCATTTTCTTTTCTCAACCACCACCAAAATCTTGTGTGCCAAACCACCGTTAATATCCTAGCCAGCTCCCTTGACTAATAAAATTCACCATTGTCACCACCCTAATCCTATTTACGAACCACAGATACGATGTAAGCATTGATATTGGTCTAGGCAGAGGTGGGTCTAGTTTGGCTTTAGGAAAATGTAAATTTATGTAGTTTGTTAGAAAGGTAAGCTAGGATAGTGACATAGTGACTTTAGGAAAGGTTTTGCTGCTTTATGTTATCATGAGCTATGCATGGAGGATAGATATATGGATGGTGGTAGCCATGCTAGATTTTGTCGATGATTGGCTTGGCAGTTCATTAAAATTTGAACTAGGTAGGTACCATGGATCGAGTTATGGTGGTGTTACAAATAAACCAGTTGGACACTTGATGTCTTAATGATTAGATATATGGAGGTTGGGTAGACGCTGAAGGTTGTTAAGAATTTTAATGGTGGTTAAGAAACGAGACTCTGGTTTGTGAATGGTTTTGGGAAGGCTTAAAATAATTCAATACGATATAAATCGTAAAAATTAATATTAAAATAATAAAAAAATTAAAAAATATTAGATTAATTTTAAATCTAATTTAAAAATTAATTGATGTAATTTAAATTAAACTTTCGTCCGTCCGTGGGTGTGTATATATATATTTAATTAACTTCTCACTTATATTTATAGTTACATATTTAGAAAAGTATAATAATTAATTATCTTAATATAATTTTATTTTCTAAATTATATTTTACTATTAGTATTAAATTCATCTTATTATTGTAATATATTTATAAGTTTATTATTTTTATGTTAATTTAAAGTTTTGTTTTATTAAATAAACTTTACATGTCATACGAGTAAAAAGTATATAATAAATCAAAATTTTAAAATAAAATTAGAATAAATTTAATATTAAAAGGCTTTAACACCAATTGATAAAAATCTTAGAAGAAATAACCATACTATAAAAAACTAGTTATTGTAGTTAAAAGCTTTAAGTCTTACAAATTTCATATTAGATTCTAGCGCTTATGTATATCAACTATGCACTAATCTCTTGATTAGTTCCAAACAAACACTATAATAAGGTAATATTACTATTCATGTCGCTCCATGTTTCGTACCAATTGATACGAACTTTTAGAAAGTAACCACTGATGCTGAAGAGTTCAAGACCTTATAAATTCTACACTAAAATCCCATCATGCTTCCGATGTGAGACTCAAAACTCATAGCTTCCTATAGATAGTGTTATTTTTTGGTTTCAATGCCGTCCTGTCACAAGTGGGCAAGTTTATCGTATTAGAATTATGGTCTGGTGGCTTCCGCGCTAAAACAGTCCCCATATTACAATTCTTTATACAGAAACTACAAAATTTATACATCTCTATTTGAAACTCATGGTGAACTATCCTGTTTATGCTTTGCTACAAGAGAACACACTTATAATCCCCAAATCTCCTATAACCTTGGCTTACAATAATTTGATAAACTCTGTAAATCAGTACTACGGACGATTTTGGGTTACTCCACAAGTCTTAAATTTTTAAAATATAAATAATTATCAATTTGTCATTTGTATTACTGCTATTTATGGTCGTTGACTAAAAATCCTCAGAGACAAAGCTGTGATATTAATCCTCCTCACGCAAGGAATGATAGTTAGATAAAACTCTTTCCAAAGAAACTCCACTATTCGAACTTTTGTATTACATGTTTAAATTTATGTGGAATTATTTAGGGGAGAAAAACCTTACGGTAAATACGGTGATATTGAGCGGATTGAATTTAAAAATTATAACAATTTTGAAGGATAAAAGAATGAAAAATAACCTTTACCACATAATATCAAATACCTGAGAATTAAATACAAGATTGGTATCTAATAAAATTTGAAGCCAGTAGCAATGGAACAGCTTTTGTCAATACATCACCTTCTTTAGCAAACACAGCCCACCCACCCCCTAATGACTGGTGCACACATCATACTAGAAAACAGCAAATCTACCCTTGCCGCCAAATCTTGAGGGACAAAAAGAAAAGGAAAAACAGCTTTCGAAGCTAATCAATAATGAACAAGGTGGACTCAGGCCTCAGTGCTATGTGAACTAGTAACTTGTTAACCACAGACCATCAGGAAGCTGGTTACTAGTGGTTTCTACAAATACTTTCGTGCAAGGGCACGGACTTTAGTGTCAAAATGTGATGACGTGATACGGGAGCCAGGCAAGTACAGGGGATTAAGGAGAGTCTGCGATTGCCCAAACATAGAAATAAAGTTACTTATCACTTACCGGTTCAATATTTCATAATCCATAAAACAGAGTAAATTTATAAACATATTTAACATAGGACTTTGCATGTTTATCTTAACATTACCAACTTCCATTAATTTCTTTTAGAGAGAGGAGTGTTCCCAATCATATCCTTACAGAACAAAAAGTAGTAGTCGAAATTGAAAACAGTATCCATTGGGAACTTGGAAGAGTTTTACTACAAAACAGCCAGAATGGAAACTAGCGAACTGCTAAAACACTTCATGTAATAATGTAGCCGGCATCTACTAGCCAATTAGCATGCTTATTATATTATATTCTAGATTAGAGTAGGGGCTAATTCATAAGACCAGGAAAAATATTCCAAAAGCTATTGATATTGTATAGCAAGCAAAGCATGCTTTAAGAAACTGGTAAACATGAAATTTATCACAATCCCATTCAAGATTAACATACATCATAAGGAATGGCAACATATGAAACATCTTACAGAGTACAAGAAAATCAATATTACCTTTATGTAAAGCTCGTGAACCTCTTGGAAGAAGCTCTTAATGCCATCATCATTGCGAGAGTCATGAAGCAACATAAATCGGGTATGTATGATAAGTCAAGGAAAATATCACACACACAAAAAACGCAAAAAGAGAAAAGTGCACTTAAGATTTAAGAATTAAGAATGCTCCCATGCCTGGGCAAGGGAGTTAAGAGCAGAGACAACTGATACAATTAACGAAGCAAATTAAGTTCAGTAGTCCTTAAAGTGTGGTGCTCAGTACTTCATTTATCTGGTCAAAACAAGATTAGCGCCCCCCCCCCAAAAAAAAAAAGAGAAATATGCTTTTTTATTAACTATAAATTAATTCCCAAATATAAAGGATATGACCAGCTGTGACATACACCGAGACCACCAGCTCATTAAACCTATCTACTGATTTTAAGTACCTGCATAGAGAGTATCAAGGAACAAAACGCTGAGAAAAGACCATAACAAATAGAACATCACGGACAAAAAGAGAATCACAATGCCAGAGCATCATATTTAAACTTGGATCGTGTATCAACTTGAAAAAGTAACTCACATAGCACTAGTAGTCCATGCAAGGTCCTGAACAATATCAAGAGCAGCGTGGAGGATAAATTGATGCAGTTGAGCAGCATCCTCCCTCTGTAACAAGGTAGCACAAAATTGAAAAAGGAGTAAATTTAGATTAACTAGGTGAGCGATGCAGGATATTAAAATAAGCATTTACATTAATCAGTTGAACAGATCATAAAATAAATCGAATTCCCCAGAAAAACCAATACTAAGTAAGAAGCAATTTAATTTTTTTAAAACAACCATAAATCAATAAAAGCTTTGAATTTACGAAAAAAAAAATAAAGAAATGAATCATACTTTAGCAGCTACTCCAACTTCAGCTTCATATATAGGAATATCATTTCTGCTGACAATGATGAAACAAGCAGTGGTTGCCATTATCAATACTCTAAGCCTACAAAACACAAAAGAGGATATAAAACACATTATAATTATGTTTACGCCTATTCTTACAACGGAAATCACATAGAAAAATGAAAATTCTCGAAGAGATCTAAACTCAAATAGAACAAAAAGCGAAAATCAAACTCTATCTAACAACATTTGAACGAGATCAGGGAACAAGAACGGGTACCGCGTCTTCCAATACTGTGAATATATCCTTCGATGTCGCGAGTTACCAAATGGAAATAGTGGACGAATTACGATCTTGTGTTGTATAATTGAATACAATGAAGCACTAGTCACGCATTATTGGATCTAAAATGCATGGCTACCGAAGAGTTACACTGTGCAAACCCTAACCGGAATCGAGGAAGACGACGGTGATGGAATTTTATATATACCCTGTGCTGTGTTGCCACTGCTTTTGCCTTCTGGACTCCGGAGTTTAAACGCATCGTTTTGCTTTGTACGTGCCTTTATTCTCTTTCCGAGGTTATACTTAAAAAAAAAAAAAAAATCTTTAACGTATGATTTAGAGTTTGAATTTTAGAATTATCTTTTAAACTAAAAATACATTAAAGAATTTTTTAACGTATTTCTGAAATATACATTAAAAATATTAAATTTATTCTATTAAATACTTTAAATTACTATAATAAATATTTATTGGATATCTTTTATAGCTTTAAGATAATAAATATTTTCATTTTTAATAAAATATTTTATTTTTAACCTTTTAACATCTAATCTTTGATATACATTCGAAAAATTGCACATTAAATTTTATGATTTTGAATAAAATTCTTATATACTCATAAATATATATTAAACAAAATTCATAATTAAATAAAATTTCTTGAAATGAGTTTGATAAAAAAAAAATATTGTATATTTAATTGTTACATGATTTTTTTGCATAATTTCATTTACTTTATTATTTGTAAAAAGAAAATTAACAATACATTCTTACTTCAAAATAAAAAATATCTTTCAACCTAGATTAACTTAGCTAATAAAATCAAAATTTTAAAAATATTTAGTTATATGATTTATTTTTTTACGTGTAAGTGTTAAATGAAGTATCACTTCATTCTTTTAATTTTGTTTTTCTTTAGTCTAGTAAAATTTATCTTTAATTGCTACAAATTTTGCAAACAATTTAAATTTTATCAATTATAAACTAAGTATATAAAAATGAACATATACAAGTTGCTAACTAAATAAGTGAATTAAGTTTGGTGAAAGATTATTGTAAAGTTTATTGCAATGTCTGTTTGATTTGTGTGACAATAAATGAATTGAAATGTTAAATATTATAGTTATGTAAAGCAAGACGTAGTTAAGTTTTGTTAGGCTACTATCATTAGACTTTTCTTAACATATAGTATAATATTTTATCATATTAAATTTTCCTATAAAAGGCTATCTATGTACTGTATGCTTAAAGGATTATTAGTAGAAGTTGTTACTACTATTATGTGTATCTTGAATAATTATCTAACAAAAAATATTTTTTACAAAACACCAGAAAAAGCAAAAGAAAGCTCTCTATTTAGTATTTTAGATTTTTTAGATTAGCTAAGGAAAAACTCAATGATAAAAGAGAAAAATGCATGTTCATTTGCTATTTTGATGAAGAAGGATTGTGAGACTGGTCTCCACAAACCCAAAAGCAATCAATAGTAATTTCAAATAGTTATATTGAGCAACGATGAACTTATAGACTTGACATCTAATGAGTTAAAAATATCAAGTAAACCATAGAAACAACAAAAACTACCAACCATATTATAAGATTATGTTATGGGTAATAATAATGACTTATCTAATGAAAAAATTATCAATTTTTTTATTTGCATATTGTGAGCTAGTGAATTTTGAAGAAGTTGTAAATGGTCATAAGCAGACAAAACCATGGACACTCAAATTCATGCAATTAAGAAGAATAAAAGGTGAGAATCAACAAATTTTCTATTATATTAGATGTCGATTGGAGTTAAATGAGTGTACAAAATAAAGTACAAACCCAATGGTGAAATTGATCATTTTAAAAACAAGTTTAGTAGCAAAAGGCACAATATTTTTTGGTATTTACTCTTGTTGTGAGATTAGATACAATTCACATGGTTTTATCTATCTTAACTCAAAACAATTAGAAAATAAATTAAATAGATGTTAAATATGTCTTCTTAAATGAAATTTTAGAAGAAAAAGTATATATTGAGCATCTTGGACGATATAAGATCAAAGACAAGGAAGAGAAAATTTACAAATTAAAGAAAGTTTTGTATGGCTTGAAGTAAGCATCAAAAGCATGGTACAAGAAAATAGGTTCTTAATTCATGCCACATGAATTTTAAAGATGCCTATTTGAGCACACTATATATAGTAAAATTGTTGATAATGATGATATTTTTATTGTGTTTTTATGTTGATGATTTAATCTTTACTAATAATAATCCAAAGATAATGCAAAATTTTGGGAAGTTATGATTAGATGTTTTGCAATGAAAATTTTGAGTTTAATGTCCTATTTTTTGGGCATTAAAATCGATCAAAAGAATGATGAAAGTTTCATATTTCAAAAGAAGTATGCAACAAATATTTTAAAGAAATTTAAAATAAAAAATTCAAAATCAATATATACACCAACTGAAGAAAAGTTGAAGTTAACAAGAGGAAGTGATAAAAGAAGAGTTAATTCAACCCAATACAAGAGCTTGACTTAGTTGGAGTTAGTTTACTTATACTTTATTTAAAAATTTGGAAGGAGAGAGAAGTAAAGAATTTGAAGGGAGGGGTAGGGTAGGGAAGAGAAGGGAGATTAAACTCCTCTTTTCTTCGGATGTTTATTATGAAAAGGAGAAGGTGATAAGGAAGTTAATAATATAAATGATATTATTGTCTTATACTTTTTATTTATATATTTTTATTTTTAAAAAAATATAAAAATTAAATATTTTTTCTTCTAAAAATTAATATTTTTAAAATTTTTATTTTTATAAATTTTTTTAAAAATTCTCACTCTAAAAACTAATATATTTTTTTAAAAAAAGTAATTTATTGTTATTCTTTTCTTTAAATTTTCTCAAAAAAATACAAAAATTATATATTTTTCTTTCTAAAAATTAATATTTTTTAAAATAATTTTTCTTATCTTAAATTAGTCATTTTAAAAATCTATTTAAAAAACTCCCAAAATAGAGAACTCACAAAATTAAGTTTAAGAAGATTTTTGGGTTAAAAAATCTCTCTTAACTCTATTCCTCCAAATTAATTAACTCCTAAACAAAAATTAAATCCCACTAACTCCTCCTTTTCCCTCTCCTCCTTAAATATAACTCCCAAGCAAAACCTTAGTAAATTGATGAAAAAGCCACATGTTTGTTATTTACAAAAAGTAAAAAGAATTCTTAAATATATCAAAGGTACTCTATCTTAAAAAAAAAATAAAAAAAATTATACTAATGATAATAATGTGAAGCTCATGGGATATACACAGTGATTGGGCAAGAAATACAAAGAGAAGAAAAAGCACTCTAGGGTACGTGTTTTATCTAGGCATTGGAGTAGTAGTCTTCCCAGTCAATTGTTGCACTCTTTAAAATTGAAGCAGAATATATAACAACAATCAATTGTGTTTCGTAAATACTATAGCTTAAAAGAATGCTTGAAGTGATACATTAGAAGCAAGAAATTCCTTAAAAAATACTCTGATAATAAGTATGTTATTACTCTGCAAAAATTTAATTTTTTATGGGTGGTCCAAATCACATATATATATTCAATCTCACAAAATTTAAGAGTTGGCAGCTAAAAGTGAAAATTAATTACTTTCACCCTAAATATAAAATTGCTTATATTTTTACAAAATCATTGAAAATTAAGTTATTTTATAAGATATAGAAACTGTTTGGAATAATTAAAGCTTGATTTAAGGGGGCAATGTAAACAACTAAATGAAGCTTTGTAAAAAAATTATTGTACTGCCTCTTAATAGTAAAAGTTTACTGCACTAGTCACAACAAAACCATTAAGAGTTTTCTACACTATTTACAACAAAAATTATGCTGCACTACCTCCATTGGACTTTTCTTAGCATATTAAGTATAATATTTTATTCCTATAGAAAGTCATCTAAGTAATGTGCTTTTGGATCGAGTTTTTAGTGTATGAATAGTGGAGAAAAATATTTCTTCTTCCTCTATGATAGTTTGAGCTTTAGTATAATATCGTCCGATTGATATCAAGTTGTTGTCTCGTAACTTGATTATTAAAGATTGTGTTGAAAACGTTTCACAAGAAGGATAGAATAGATGTGCGTGTAGTTGAATTGTCATTGACCAAAATCTTAAGTGTGAGATATGATGTTGATGTTGGAAATATAATGGTTCACAATGTCACCTTTCTCCTCCCCAAACCAGGCATGTCGAAATGCAATAATGTTTCATCAGATGAAACCAAAAGCATGTGAAAGAAACCAAGAAAAACTCGAGGTAAATCCAAACGCATCATGGGTATACTCAAACCAACACCCTTCTAACCATTTTCTGTTACTCAAACCAATTTATGTCCAACTGTTTTAGTTTTTTAAGCCACTTTTGTGTGTCTTGAGAAATAGGACATGGTTTAGATGCTGTCTGAATCTCACTATCTACATCAGGTGACACTGTATGATCACTCCCTTCATCCTTAGCAAGGTTGTCCTGTCTGTTTCGTTGTCTTACCTTGAGGGACAGAAGCCGAGAAACCTCATGTAGTCCACCCCACTTTTCCAGTGCACGCGCGATGTCATAGCGCCCTGAAGAAAATTCCATTGCTACCAAGTTAAAAATGATTGTGGGAAAAAGTTACTGATTCAATGCATTACCTTGACAATGGTGATGTTGCATGTCATAAGTAATCTTTCTTTATTATGGCAGGAATGAAGTCTAATTGAGAATTAGAATATCTTAAGCTACCTGCACGCTCGAATGACTTTCTACTGGGCATAAATGAAGGGTCTATTCCCCAGCTCCTTTGAAATCGACTTATCTGCATCAAGAAATGAATTTTAGTATGATCAAAGGTGAAAATAATGTCGTGGATATGACAATTTGCTCAAATTGAAGATTTCATGCATGACATTCTTTCTTTATCATGGCCTAGTTTGGATTTGTTTCTAGCATATGGTAGCTTTTTAATTGTAAAACCTATTACTGCTAAGATGCTTAAGGATATGCAAATGAGAGAGATTCTAACAAAGTTAAAGTGTCATAAGTTTATTTGAATTTATGTTGAAAGTTGAATTCATTTTACTTTCTCCTTCTATAAGTATTTATTGAGAAGTTTATCCAAAATGACTCCATGTAGTTGTCAAAAAGTGCCAAGGGTACAAGGCAAAGAAGGAAATAAAATAATGTGCCGCCTACCTCCTCCTGCAAATTTTCAAGATTGTCCCAGTAACCTTTTGGTTTGCGGTGTTTGTAAGCCAGAGAAAGGTTCAATATGGTTGCAATCTTTCTGAATCCTCCCATGCGAGTTATAGCCTTCTCTATATCCACTCTTCCATGCAAACGAAGTTGCTTCCTCATTGGCATAAATCCTTCCTGTCCATATTCCGCAATGAATTTCAAGAGTTCAGATTTTAGTACTTCAATATCCCTCTGTAAGCCTGGAACTTTAGGCCTTTGTTGAGATGAACACTGAACATTACAATTGGAAACTTCCTCAGCTGAACCTAGGTTGTCATCTTTTTGAAAGCCAGATGAAACATGTTGCCCTGAATTTGTATTTTGCTCGCAAACTTCAGAAGATTTTGATGCAATTCTGTTCTCAATATAGTCTCTTATTGCAGACAAGTTTGATGGTAGATCTTCATAAATGACCTGAAATGATGTTATGCAAAGAACTCAAAACATTGTAGGGTTTCAAATAGTGAATAGATTGAAATATATTTATGATATTTGTGATAAAAAGTGGATAGATTGAACTTCAAAAGATTATATTTAACAATAACCAAAGTAAAAAGATTAAAAAAAATGAAAAGACACACTCATTATATTTTGTATACTTTCCAGTTACATTCGATTATTCAGTCAGGATCTGTTGGGTAATTTAGTTTTGTACATGGAAAACGAATACAGAATTACAATTTCTCAGAATTCTGATCACTCCTTACAATTTCCCAAAATGAGGGCATTACACTGTTGGAAAATAATCTAGGCAAATTTTGAAAGCAATCTGAAATTATATAGATGAATCAAGTTATAGATAAACCTCCTCCATGATGGCTTCAGAAAGGAAAGTATCTTTGCGCATTTTGGACTCCACAGAGTATTTTAACAGTGTGTGATGATTTCCTAGTTGCTCAAAAATCCATTTTCCCTGGAACGAATCGAAGTCCCCTTCAACCTGCTCAAAACTGATCTCCCGTTCTAAATATTCACACAAGTCTAACACCACACGAGCATGAAGCACCATATAAAGAAGGCCTTTACACCCTTCCTGCACATTGATTAAACCAGGAAATTACATAATTTATAGATAAAGTACATGTTGTGGCTTGTACTAGTTTTTGTGCCAAGGGATACAGTGTGTTTTTAACTAACAGTGGATATTGGATAACGATGGTAAAACACAGGCTGGTAAGCGTGATACAGTGGCCAGGAAAAAAATCATGATATGAACAATTATGGTGTTCTTTTAAGATTCTACTACATTAACATTGCCCCGTACCTGAAGAATGCGGACTTTATTGTTATCTCGTGATAAAATCTTACTGATTGCTAAATTTGGAACTATACTGCAACAAATGATGAGGGATTGAATTAGGACGATGAAACATTATATCTGAATATATTTCCCTGCATCTTTCTAGTTCATCTAATGCAAAGAAGCAGCATAACTAATTAACTTACTCAGGAAGAGTCTCATAGGCAGTGAGAATATTCCATACTACACGAACAGGAGCTTTAACTGTTATGCTTGCAACAACACAGCGATGAACACCTCCATTTTCCTTCACATCAAACTCACTTTATTAGTAACTTTGTCCACGCTGATAGATCATCGTCAGAATTAAGATCACCTCATAATCATTAAAACAGATAATTTACCAAAAGTCCATCAAATCTGCGGAGATGAACTTCATCCACCATGCAAGGTTTGTCAAGCCTGCAAACTTTTCCAAATACACCCCAGTTGCTGCTCACCTCACTGGAAAATGTGGGCAAGGAACCAGAAACTGAACTGGCAATTTCTTTTTGGCTCTCTACAGGAGGCAACTTATCACTTTGACACGAAACACCATTTATCTTTTTGACAGATGAACCGTTAGTAGCCACAGAAGTTTTGTGCAAGTGATTTTCTGGCAGTGGAAGTTTCTGATAGCCCATAAAATTCCTTTCAGCTCTGTAAGCCAAAGCTCGAAGATTCACAGGAAGATCAGATCTGATAATCCTTTCCAAGAAAATAGCTGGGAAATTGAATCTTGGTATCACGTTAACTTCATAAGATAAAATAGCTGTTGATGACCTGCATAAATCGGAACAAATGTGTAAACTAGAAATTGTAAAATGGTAATGTGACTAATGTCCATCTTGAATTGAGACATTATTAAACACAAGGGTGAAATTATTAATGATGGCAATGCTTAATTATTTTACAAGGTGCAGTACTATATATGGAAGGTTAGCCAAGTTATTTTTCATCCTCTTTCTCACATAAAAAGTTCAAAGACGTCATATAATATACTTCAATGCAATTTGAGCACATACTCGAAACAAATTCACATGATGAAATATATTCAAAAGAACAACTATTTAAACATCATTTCATCTCAAAAGAAGTCCAGCAAATTCTGATGTATGTATTGAACAGTAATATCTCCAGATGAAGGCCTAACAAAAATAAAGCCTCTTCAATAATCACAACTTCATCCAAAAGTTCAAACTTAAAGATCGATGCTTAAAGATTGATATGACATACTACATATACATGCAATACCTTTAGATTGATGCAAAGCTGCTTTTACAAATATTGGCACTGAGAAATAGAGTCTACCTTGTTCCAGATTTTACGGACCATTTGCCATCAAACTTCTTAAAGTCTCCATCAACCATGGAAAAGTGAAGTTCTCGATCCCATACCTGAAGAATTAAAAGGAATACAAGTAACAGTATTAGCTATTAATTTAATAGGTGGTACACTACTCTCTTCTACACTTGTTCCTATTGACTGAATAAATCTATCAAATTACCACATCCACTATTAATGGAAACTAGCCTGTTCTTCATATATGGTCTTGCATAAGGATCATGGGGAAAATTGTACAGGAGAATATGGGTTGGAGTAAGAAAGATTCTAGTATTTTTTTGTTTTTGGAAACACATTGAAAAACCTATATATGTGGGTCCAAAGTAGAAGCTACAATTAGTAGTGTTTAAGTAAACGTAAATTCATAATCTTTTAAACGTGAATCCAAGCTATTTAGACAAAAGCTATACACTCATTAAATAGTGCTATAAGCTATTTAGAAACTGCTACTAACTACTAAAACAAGCTCCTTTAACAAACAGGTCTATTTTGGTCAAATGAACTTTTAAGCGCTCTTAAAACGCTATTCTTTGCCATTTCATTTGGAGTAAGTGTTAACAAAAAGATGCTTACTGAATTGATGACTTCTTGAAGATCCAAAACAACACGGGCTTCTATGTGCCAATACATTGCCCTTTGGAATCCCCTTTGCTCTAACCAAATCCTTCCAGGGTATGGACAAGGAATTCGCCCACTGACCCCAACAACAGCAAAAGAGGAAAATGCCATTTAATATAATCAACACCTATAAAAGTAAAAAAAAAAAAAAGTTTTTGTTCTTAAACATGAAAATGAATAATAGCAGAAGCATTAGCATTACCTCCACACAAGATTCGGGATGAAATCAGCGAGATGCTCATAATCAGTGAGAGCATTCCAAACGGATTCAGTGTCAGCATTGACTGTGATTTCAGCGTTGACTCTGCGTTCCCTCCAAGATATAACTTGAACCTCACAATGCACCTCACGCTCACCCTCCTCCTCTTTTTGCCCAAAGTTTCCATCTTTGGCGTTGTAACAGTTGAATTGGCATGTGGGTCTCAAAGGGGTCCTTGTGGTTGAGGAAAGTGCAGTGCCCCAAAATTGGACTCTGAGACTGAGAGAGAGAAACCTTGCGTTTGTGTGTGTGGCTGGTTTGGAGACGAAGTGAAGAGAGTGAGGTCCAAGGTTGGTGGTGGAGGAGGAAGAGGAAGTGATCATGTCTCATGAGACAAAACAAACGAGTGTGTTCCATTGGGTGGATCGATTACATCTACATGGCATCAGTGACAGTTGAAGACAGTGCCTTCTTAGCCACCAGTTTTGTTTCTGTCGTTTAGTGGTGCTCATGAATTTGTGGTTCCAACACTATACACGGTGGTACGGTTGTTTTCGTCATTTCATGAGATTTTTATCGGGGGAAAGCTACTACGATACTAGTGTAAAGTAAAATTACTTTTATTATAATGTAAATAAAATATAATTTGTGTGTTTCGTATACTGCAATCTTAATGTAACATTGATTTTATAATAGATTAATAAATGAGAAAAGAGCGATGCATTGTAAAAACAGAGTGGAGGTGGAATGAGAAATGTGAGATGGAGCAAATGAGACAGTGGTGGTGGAAGTGGGTCCCAAAATATTTTATTCTTTTCACCTTTAAACTTATGTTTTTCCACCATAAAATGCTTCATTCTTGTTTAATAAATAAATTTATCATGATAGAAGAACAAAAATTATAATTTTAGCCACATAAACCTTATCACATGCATTTTAATAATTCTTTTACCGTTTGTCTTGCACAATAGACATAGAATATTTGGATTTTTCATTTAATGTATATATAAATAAATAAGTATAATATATATATATATATATATAAATTTATTATTTTGAGTTTTTTTAAATTTCAATAAATATAATTGTATTAAATACTTGAAAAAAATATTTTCACCTATAATGATAATAGGTGAAAATAAAAAGTAAAGAGAGCATAAGAAGAGAGTTTAACTTTAAGGTTTTGATGATTTTTAAAAACTCCAACATGTTTAAAAACGAAAATAAATTATTTGTATTAATTGCAAAAATGAAAAATGAGTTAAATTTAATCTATTTTATTTTTAAAAGAGTTAAAGTTATAAATTTATTCTACTGACGAATTTGACTTGTTTAGAAATTAAAGAAAAATTATATAAATTATTAAAAGAATAAAATATAATTAATATATATAAGTAAATTATAATTTAAATAAATGATTAATATATTAATAATAGATTTGTTTTTTATATCTAATAAATTTATAAATAATTAATTTTTTATTATAATAAATAATAAATAAAAAATGGATGGTTAAAATTGTCCCCAAAGTTTTGACGGCAAATGACCCAAATTCCAACTTGATGAGTAACACTCATTATTATTTCTGATAAATACTTTAAAATAGTTATGGTAGGAATTTTATATCTCTTACAGACTAGTTTAAATTCAATTCTTACACTTTTCATTACAAAACATATAATTTTTAAACTAATTCATAGACTCATCTTAATTATATTCAACGATTTAAAGTTGATCTTATTTAACTGCAGAACATCAATGATATCCACATAGAAGCATTCCCAAGGCACATTTGAGTTGAATGTGTGATTTGGTCAGGTCTTCATATAGGTAATAGGTGGTACAATTTCTTCATTGCTGTGTCTGCAATGTTCTGTTCATGAGGGAGCTGCTCTTTTCGTTGCTCACTTCTCTCATTCCATTCCACCGAAGGAAAAGATTCCACACCACTTGTCAGAATCATAAAGATGCCAGGCTCTTTTGTAGTAAACCGCTCTATGCTTAAATACCATCACCCCAATGCTTTTTTGTTGTGCTCTTCGACATTTTTATCTTCTTATTTTCTTACTAAATAGCACTTTCTATCTATTGTAAAGGATCTCTATATGATTGACAGTTAATGCATGTTTGATTCAATTTATTTTGAAGAATAATCATAAATGCTTTTAATATTTTTTTATGACAATAGGTTATGTACATGGCGCAGATGGCACTGTTGCATGAGTCCTAGACAATATAAAGATGTTAAAAGATACCAATTTTTGCTGCCTCCACCCATTACAAATGATTTGTCCAGGAAGTACTACTGCATTGGGAAGGAGGGTTTTTCTGCACTTGATGGACAGGATAGCTTGACCATGCTTTTGCTTGATATTTGTAATGTTGCAGTTACAATGCAAACTCCGAAGAGAAGTTAAAATTACATAAAGTGAGTGATAAATTAAATTCAAGGTAAATTATCTAGGTACTTCTTTGAAACAATTATTTGGGACTATTTCTTGCGAATTACTGACAAATGAGTACAACTACTTTTGTTTGCATTGGACGTGATGCAAAGGTTGCGTATGAAATTCATGTCACTGGAGATAAATGCTGTTTTATCATTGTAAAACTTCATTTATTGTAGACTAGGTGACTTGTTTTCATAGTCTTTCTTCTGGAGGGTGGAGGGGGTACTTCAACAACTAGGTGACAGAACTTTTTTTGACTTGCTGTGGCAAATTTGGGTTGAAGTTTATGGGAGGTCATTGAGATTCGTAAGGTAAATTACTAATATTAATAAATAATTACATTCAAGTAAGTATTTTCTCTAAATAAATAAATAAATATATAATATATGCATGTATGTGAACATCATTTAGTAATTCTTCTTTAATAGAAGACTCTTGAAGGATTAATTGGGAGCAATACTAGTTCTTTTTGTATGAATGATGATTAATCTTGAATTCATGCATAATAAAATGTTTCCACCTATCACTCACTTTATGAGTAGAACCTATATACCTATTGTGCAGTGAAAATTCATAAATCAGATAAAGCTTAAATTTACTCTGTAGGCTGGACTTAGATAAGCAAGAATGCTAGCACAAAGTAATGAAATAGTTACACTCTAGTAGTCCTTTTCATGTATGGCAGATTTTCAGTGATAGCAGTAGATTAATGCTTAATTGTACTGAGCCTGAACTGTACTTCCACAGCTCCACTGATTAACCTATAATTGCTCCCTTTGGTTCATAGCCCTTTTGCACATCCACTTTCTGGGTTTCAAAACACTAATTTCTCATCTAGCCTTGTTTTACAAGAAATCAAACATAACTGCATGCAAATCAAGTTTTTACCTATACAAGGTGTGCCTAATTTTTTTATTAGGAAACACAAGATTTTATGAGATCGTTTTAGTTCACAAAACATAACAAATACTGGTAATATCGTGGTGTTTTGTTTGGCCCTGTTGAGGCATTCCAATCTTTCAAACTTGACTCTTCTAAACTAACGAATTCGATCTAATGAAAAAAAGATGATAAGAGAGGCTTGATTAAAAAGTATCAAAGAAGTAAATTCTAATAAATCCGAGTACTATAATTCAAGTTATATTATATACTTTTCTATATGAGAGTCAAATCCTATTCTTTTACCTTTTAGACTTTTCAGGGAGAGGCATATAGAGTGCATGCATGGTCATGTTTTTCAGTCACTATTTTGTTGAGTGCATCACTCCAGCGCTATGTAAACTGGAGCCCAACGTCACATTCTTCAGAGAAAGATTTTGGAGTAGAGGATGGAAGATTATTATTTTTTTCTCATTTTTATTCTTTTTTTAATTTAATATTATTTTAAAAAAATGAAAGAATGAATTGATATAAATTTAATGTCTTAATTTTTTATTTGTTTTTATATATATTATAATTTTTTATTTAAAAATAAAAATTTACTTTTTTTCCCCAAAATTAATCCCACTCTCAATCTGCATGATGTCGTAAGTTTAAACATCATTGCTATATTGGACCCAAGAAAAACAATATCTATTGGACCTTCAACAATTCCTACCACATAGTAAGTTATATCCAAATGGCGAAGTGGCCCTATTACTATAAAATTATTAAAGTCAATTCTTTTTGTTGTTAAAATATACTTGTAATTACAACATGTTTGATGTTTATGAAAATAATTTATGACTCTCATAAGATTTTTTAACTTATTTTAATAAATATATAACATAAACTTGTGTTAAAAAAAACTTGTTAAATAAGTGATTGATTAACTAATACTAACAATATTAACAAGCAATGATTATTGACCTACGCAGCTGTTGCCAGGCTAAGTTATGAGGCATTAAAAGGGATCAAATGCATGTTAAAATGGAAGATGATTTTCATTCTTCTTTGTGAGAGTGAGAGTTTTTGGATGTGTACAATGACGTTGGGTCATTCATTTGCAGCAACTACGTAGGCCACAACAATGCAGTGTAACGCAGCAAATATCAGTACACATCGATTTCAACCAGCTCACATATGCTATTCATAGGATCATAACAATGCATTAATGCCACTGTCCAACTCATTGCGGTCATCACTCAATTGCATGAACTTGATTATACCTTTTGTGGGAGTTTCCTAAGAGCAAATTTCCGTGTGTAAAAACCCCAATGTTTGGCTCCGATAAGGTGTATTAAATTCATATTCTCGTTAAGATTTATAATTTTAAGTGAAAAAATTAATACAAAACTGGTATTAAATTTAATCACTTTAAAAGGGGTCCGTTACCATGAACCAATTATGTCCTATCCTTAAACAATTCCATTAATTATTTATCACCAAACAATTCTAGTTGTCTTAAACGTTGCGAGTTGCGACTTTATTTAAAAGGATTCAATAATCTATTTAATTAGATACCCGAACCTTTCCATATATAAATTATCAATCAGATAATGTATAAAAATTTCTTAACTATAAACGCTTACACCTCAATAATATAAATTTAAGCGTCAATCATGGATCATTTTAAAAGATCGATGCAACCCAGAAGTAACTAACTGTTAAGCTTTGAGCTCAAAGCAGGGAAATATCTTGCGGACAGTGTGTAGTCAACTAAACCGAAAGAGGAAAAGAACGAAGATGTTCGATGTGTTGGGGACCTTGTACCTACCAATTCACCCGTGTAACAACCTATGCAATTAACATATACATGAATAAATATATATTTATAAACATGGGTGTGGCACCATGTTAAGGGCAATGACCAGTGCATAGAATAGAGTGCTGTAAAAATATTAATTGTTGATGGCAGCAACACTCCCATGAGATGATGACATTGTTGTGCGTTTGTGCATTGTATGAATCAGAGTGTTGAACGTTAGACAAGAAGAGGAACTAACGGTACATAGAAAGGAAAATTCAGAGATGGCGATTGATAG